ATACCCGACTTAATGCTAAATTAACTGGAAAACAATCGTGAGAACCTGTTTTTTCCCCATTTTTCAACCAAGCACACACTCCACTCTCGAGTCGAGAAGTAAGGAGAATGCAATCGGTAAAGTAACGCGTAGGCGGAAATGTCGGAGAGATTGCAAAATAAGGAAAAATGAGCCTTTTAACACATGGATGTGACACTAGTTAGCCGTGATTTACTTGATGAGTTTATTCTATTCTTCTAATGCGTCTGTTGTTTGCATAGTACTCAATCCTACCATCTCTTTCCTCCGCAGGGCACGTGCTCACTCTCTCTCCTTTTTTAGCGAACAGGGTGATATAAAAACATGAGAGATATGTAACGCTCGCGAACTTTACTGCTCTGGAAAGTGCGGGGTTAATGCAATCAAATCAGCGAGAGTAGTGCCGACGACCATGAAGCAACCAGACCAACAATAAAGTGTATCTAGACGTGGGTGAAAGTGAGTGTATGTACATAAGTGAGGGGCGAACAATACATATTCGTACTTTTTGAGACTGGATGTACGCAGATCCGATGTAAAATATTTTGGGAAATAATGAAAACATTGAAACGAATCTGATACTCCAGGAGCCTACGCAATTCAGTGAGATAGTCGACATTGATTTTTCTCTGATGTAGGAATATTTACACTCGGAAATGATTCCGGATCAAATATTATTATCATATGTAGAGCAATTCCGCATATCCTTCCGCCCAACGGCGGATTAGATTTGCTCATCATTCTCTCGAGCAATGTTGGTGCCATAGCGGAAGCACTTATTGTGTAACAAACGTACTATTAGATGGCATGACAATGAGAATGGTTGGTCGGGAGTAAGTACATAAGACGAGGAGATAAAATGGATAAATTAGGGAACAGCAAACAACAAAGTATAAAATCAAAGAGAAAGCATATTTTGGACATGATCCAAGAGCAGAGAGTGGCACAATAAAAAGTTTTTTAATACGCATTTTATTTACTGTTTGATCCTCTCCTCCTGAGAAGGAGGAGGAGGTGTAGGGATGCCAGAAAGTCAGACAGAGAGAGAGCAATTCCACTCGTCTAATTGCCCCAATAAAGAAAGTGACTACTTTCTCTCCCTTCCCCGTCCCCGTTTGCCCAGTGTTTTTAAGGAGAAGGGCCGAGAAGAAGTGCTTCGTCCGACGATGGGAATATAGAGGAGAGAGATTGTATTTTAGTAAAAGAACAACAATTTTAGTGATTTTGCCCCCTAAAATCAAAGGAGTTTGTAAAGTTCAATTTGTATCGTGTCTCAATTTTGGGGTGAGATTAGATGAAAATTATAAGTGCTAAATAAATGCATTAACCATCATGGGGGTTGAGTTCAGTTCTACTACCAAGAAAAATAAAGTTTTAGTACTATTGACTAGATCTGGGATTTGAGTAGAGACGAATTTATTAATTGATTGACAGTGTCAAATTTAACAACTGTGTGCATCAATAGGGCATAAAAAATCCTGTTCCGATAAATTATGTAGATACGAAACTCGCCATGATAACGCCGGTACTTTCATCATGACCGAATGCTCGGATAATGTTCTTTTGACTGAATGACATCTGATCCTGCTTAAACGACGAGGAGTCTAAACTACCAGGTAAACTGTGCCCTGAGTACCAATGGAGGTGCTTCGAAAGCGTTTCTTTGACCCGCGCTATACGACTGCATTTGTCAAACGAGTCTACCCAACTGCATTCCCCACCCTCCATAAAAGTTGGGAAGGCTGATAAAACAATGAAATACGTAAAATAAAATTCAAATTCCGGGTAGATGTGACTCCCTGCCATCCCATTTAATGGGGTCTTTGATAGGTACTTAGTCCCTGTTATGTTGCGTTGTTAGGGCAGAAGCTGAGCAATTTGTCCCCCAGCTGCAGTGCAATTGCACTCCTTTATTGTCCTCCTCTCCTCCCCAATTGCCACTATATTGCTCAGTGAAAAGGGGGAGATTTGCATCTAAAGATACCAACATCACGACACAATTGGTGGCCTTAACTTCCTCAAGGTTGTGCTTCCACTCGTACTTATTGCTTGTGTGAGTAGTGGATTTGCTTAAGATGGTGGGTTATGCAAGAAGACAGTATTTATTTAAAAGAGGGGAAGACAGCGAGCATTCTTTACATGTGAGCAAGTTAAGTGCACCATAATAATAATAATTGCGCCTCTCACTCACTCACTTTCTCCTTGTTAAGAGAACAAGTTGTGCGTAAGTTTGGATATAATAGTTGGTGCTCATCGCTTGGCTTGGCTCCTTGGTTTTTGCTCGGATGTAGGCATAAGCTAGCTTCGTGATGGTGAGATGTGGGATGAATGGATACCAGGGCAGCAGTATGAGCATCAACTACCCCGGTCTGGTACAAGTTTTAGATGAAAACTTTGCCCAGAAAGTTATATATGTCGCTAGTTGGCTTGGCTTACTCTGGCGAAAAAATGAGGAGGAGGAGGAGGATGAGAGGAAGTATAAGCTGTTAGCAGGGAACATGGTTGATTCAAGGAGCCTATCTCACATTTCTGGGAGGACTGAGATTGGGAATCGCACATCACACATATCGCTAACACATCTGGAGATATTTTAGTTACAAGGTATCATAAATAAATAAATAAATGAGAAAAGTATAAGGTGCTCAGTTGTGCTGTTGGTAGGAAGAAGAAGAAATAGTGGATGATCGTATTCCGCGATGACCTTCTTCTCCTCCTCCATTGTGTGAGGTGGACTTAAACTTTTTTTGGAGCAGGGGAAAAGAAGTAGGAAAAGTGAATTGTGAAAGTTGATGAAGCAAGATATTTGTGGACCAGTTGGGTCTCATGAAGTGCTCGGCTTGAAGCTTGGCTGCATTTATGTGTGTTCTCCTGAAAAAAAGTTTATTCAGCTAAACTATTCCTCTCCTAAATTTCTGACCTGACTGGCCGACTGTACTTGGCGAATGAGCTGATTTGGGTTTGTTTGGAGCAAAATGAAAGACGAAGAAGTGCTGAGTCCTGTTTTTATATGAAACATGAATAGCACAATTAAACATTTTTTCTTCTTCTTTCCTTGTGGATTATCTTGTTGGAGAAGAAACAGCCGAAGGGAAGGAGAAAAATAAGTAATGATCAAATTGAATTGAGTTGACGAAGCTTCCAAACAACTCGGTGAATCATGTGGCAGAACGGAACATGACCACGCACGCCGAACGTATGTACCTACTTATGAGTTGGTTATTAGTTTGGTTGTAAAGAAAGGTTTCGTTCGTGACACGGTAATAAGACATGCAGCTCATTCTTTTGAATAATGTTTCTCTCCCAGCCGTGGTTGGGTGGTTGGTTGGCTGGTGTGTGGTGGTAGGTAGTACGACGGTGGGTAATAAATGGGAAAAGTAATTCTGGGAGAAAGTTGCACAAGGAGAGGGACAAGTTTTTCACCAGCACGACGACGACAAGGACGACGACGACGATTACCTAATTAAGACATCTCCTACCAACCACCACCAAGCACCACTAATCCATCATGGATACTGCTGCTCCTCGTATACACGACCGTAATGATGGCATTATCAGGCAGTCATCTCGTTAATTTTTTGATTGGTTCTGCGAAAATTAGTTTGTTGACGTGAGGAAAGAAAGAAAGAAAACTCGAACTTTAATGATGAAGAGTTTTGCTTCCTAGTTTTCATCTTTGGCTTGAACCAGGAAATGAGCGTGTCTCAGATTGACTTTTGTCACTTAGCTTAATGTGTCTGACCTTTTAAATATTATTCAGAAGTTTAACGCTATACATATTTTCTAGCAAAAAACGAAGATCGCTTTCAGATTTTGATTATAAATCTAATTACGTTTCCTTCCTACAAGCCTTCAGTCGACCACTTAGACTTTCACTCGTACCTACATACGTATACCCATTATTGGTACGTCGACTGGATCTATGTGCCATCATTTAGATTTCCACCACCACAAAATTTCGAAGCAGCAGCAATAAGTGGCAAGTGTATCATTCAGTGGAAAGTACGTACGTAAGGTCCTCTCGAAATGGTTGGATGTGATGTGATGGACAGTGAGCTAGAGCTATGCACATATATGCATGAATACCTCTTCCGTCCAATTACTCTTCGTGAAAGGCGCGGTCGAGGTCGACGTCGACTTCGAGGTCGAAACACATACATACATACGTACATTCGACATATACGGTTAGTGTGCTGGCCATGATGAGCGTTTGTACGAGAAGGAATACCACTGTCTGTTTTTTGGCCCCTATCTGACCGACTCAGTAAATGGTGGCGTATCCATCACTCTGTTCCTTCAATCTGGCTGGTTAGAGAGATGTTTTTACCCAACAAACCAAACGAATTTTGCCCATCCATCCAAAAGGAGAAAGTGCGAGAAAGTAGGAGCCGAGAGGGAGGCAGAGTAACAGATTGACAGCTGTGGGAACAAGAAACAATTACGATTTGTGTGTGTTAAATCCGTGTTTTTTACAATCTGGATAATCACTCCTCGTGCATGGATGACTTATGAATGCATCACATCATTACATACATCACACCGTGACGGCATACACTCATAAAACAAATAAATTGGATGTGAGGCGCACGTTAATTACTACGTCGTCTATTATTGGCTGTATAATTCAGGGTCGTGAAAGGTTATTATTAGCTGGTCGTGAAATTGTGCACTGAAACCTGTAATTAATCCCCATTTGCTGACCATTCGGAAAAGGAAGGGGAAAAAGTAGGAAGCAATTTGAATGACGGCCCGATCACGTGCCTGGTTAGCATTTATTTCACAAACACTGTTTTTACCCCGATGCGATCTCACACATTAAAAATTTAAAGCGCAGCAGCTCGTATAACTGTTAATTGCCTCGACTTCTCTCTTCATTCTTTGCGTAGAACGAAAACCTTCCAAAGTTAAGGAGTGGAAATCATTAAAGTTAATTAATATTTGTGCAGTAAAATGGTTCTCATTCTCCTCGTTTTATTTTATTCCAGCTCCCACAGTCGACATAGTTGATGACGGGGAGAAGCCATTAAAGGACAAGATATTTAAAATAGGGTCAACTCTAGAGCTCCGCTGCATCGTGAATCAAGTAGGTCCCACGATGGATAGTGGACAACACGTGAGTTGGTATCATGGCTCCCGGCTCCTCAACAACGACACATTTCGTGGAGGCATCAGGTAACAAATTGCATCAAGAGTAATAATAATAATAATTCTTTTCCTAAGCAGCTAAAATTTGGGGGAAGTGAAAACAAAGCGGCGATAAAGTTGGATGCATGTGACACGAGAGAAGAAGTAGCAGTAGTAGCACGACTACTGCAGGCAGTGACAGTGCGAGAAAGAGTATAAGTAATGGAAATGGCTTCATATCTCTGTCCTTCCTTGCTTACCCGCAGCCCAGATCGGAGCGTAGGCAAGACAGCAAGTGCGGGTGCACAGATAAGAGACAAATTGGGCGATAGGATGTAAAATAAAGTTGGAGATACAAACAATGTGTGCTGGGGAAAACCACCACTTGAACAATTCTCCATGTAGCCCTGCCCTAAATTGACCTTCTGGTCGCAGAGTACGATATTTCTATTCCAATTGCTATTGCAATATTATGTATTTGGAGTTTAATTCTAAAAATAAACACGAGTCGGGTCGAGAGATTGGTCAATAACAGTAACGAACTGGGCTAGCTAGCTAGTTGAACGATGAGGTGGTGGTGGAGGTGAGAGCATAAGTGAAAGTTATGCTCGACTTTTTTCATCCAAAATGTGTAAAAGCTAATAACGCCGAGCTGGAATTATGAGCGCGCACACCCCCGCGTAATAAAATTGCATTACGTACACAACACCTCCCATTGCCGTTACAATACTGCACGTACATACATATTTCGCATCCACCTCATAATATTATTTCCATTGTCGTACAAGCCGAATTTTTCCCTTTTTCCAGTGTGAAGAGCTGGGTGCAGAAGGAATCCGGTTTCTCCAAGCTGAGCAAGTTGTACGTGGCGAATGTGAACAGCAACGACTCTGGATGGTACACCTGCTCGATGGGACGGTTCGGAAATGCCACGGTCTATGTCTCCATCTACGTCCACGGTATGGTTATCAGCTACTAATTTAATCTACCAATTAGTCCACGCACTAATTAATTCTTTACGAGATCAATATTAAACTCTCTCATTATTTATTATTATTAAATTTCCTTTGAAAACTGTCTACGGCGGTAGACATACGTTTTTGGGCTCGTTTCAACGGCCAGTAATTTCATCCATGGATGGGTGAGCCCAGTTGGGAGCACTTGCTACTACTACTTATGCAATGCACTACCACCGCAACTAGGACCAAGATTCTCTCTCTTTCTCTCTCTCTCTGTATAATATTTACCCAAACTTTTCCCAGGACACGTACGGACTGAGGAGAGAGAGACACCGACGACCCGAATGATTTTGAACTTTAATTTCATCCCAACAAAATGCATGCGTCTCTGAACCAGTTCGTAAACCTAGCCGTGCATAAATAAATGAATGGATCCTGAGCAGTGAAAGCTGGCATGGATTTGGCTGGTTATATAAGCCCCAATTATTTTTAAAGTGAATTTATTGCCATCCATAATACTGCAAAATGTAGAACATGTAACAATGTGTGTGTGTGTAGAATTCATCCGTGCTACACAACAACTATTTTCCCTCCCGTTTCAACAAGATTTAAAATTAATTTCCACTGTCAACCGAATAGAAAGAGAGAGTCATTTCCTCATGGAGCTGGCTGAGGGCTGACAGCTTTCTAGAAATGAAACCTAGTTTACAAAACGCCCACAAAATCCCCAACTTATGCATAACCCACACTTTTTTTTGACAGTTTCTTACAATGTCCAGATTTTCAAAAAGTGTAAATTCTCCCTTTTCATATTTCCAAAAAGTAAGTGCCCAACTTGATAAAATCTCGCATTTTCTTTTTCTCCCCCATCTGCTCACTCATCCATGAATGTACGACATTATTATAACTGTGCGGAACTATGCAAAAGTCACTTTCACTCACTCTTTTTTTCCCTCTCTTTTTTTCGTTCGGGATGGAAAACCAATTTAAACTAAGAACTGTCATCACGATCACATCGCAATTCTTGGATGGTTCTTGATTTGGTTGATTTATTGTGTGTTCTCTACAAATATGTAGGCGAGACACCTGCCGCCATGCAGCATGGAGATGGTTCGAAACTCTCCTCATCCGTCTTCTCCTCTCTCACCTTTCTCCTCACCACCCAAGCCGCTTGTTGCATCCTTCACTAAAGCCAAAGTACACAAATTGGATTGTCTCCTCAACTCGGGTCGACTACTGACTCAACTTCTTCTTCTATTGCTACCACGACGTACTTATTTCTGCTGCTGCTTCTCCTCCTCCTCCCGAGAAAAGCGAGAAGAGAGTTGATGAGAAAAGAAAGAAACTGGAAGAAGCTCTCTTCATCGCCACGTGGATTATTTATTTGTTTGTTGCATTCGGTGTGTGTGTGAGTGTGCGGTGGGAACTGGAAACAATTTACATGGGAATCAGGACAAGAAACTCAATTAAATTTTCAACTCTATTCTGCTACGAGAAGGACGACGACACGACAATGACACTTACTGCACTGCAGGTGGTGGTTGTTGCTGTGCGAGGGTGAGATATGCATCCCCTGGAGCTCGAGTTGGTGAAAAGTGAATGAGGGTGAAAGTGACAAATAAATTATTTCCTTCCTTCGTCATCATCATCATCTCATCATATCCAACCCAAAGGATCCCAGAACGTCTTCTTTTCCTCATTTATTTATACGTTTCACGAGTGAGTGTGTGTGTGCGGGTGAGTAAGTAGCGTAATGTCAGAGAAAACTTAATCTGTTGTAAATACCTATAACTAATTGGAGGAGAGGAGTGATTTATTATGATGCGTCCACGGTGCGAGAGTGCTATTTGTCTATTATCTGTCTACTTAGCGATGAATATTATTATTACTTTTATTTAAATACTACTGTATAATATGTATTTACTAGGGAAAAAATAATCAAAAATATTCACAAAATATACGAATGAATGAACCAACTGGTGCTTGAATGAGAATTTGTTAAAAAAAACGTCGTGGTTGGAGAAACGGAGTAGAAGTAATTATTTGTAAATATCGATATTGTTTGTTACACAATACGAGTTAAATAGAAGGTGGAGGTAAAAAATGTGTGGAGGAATCTATCAAAGCAGACCGTGGGAAAGAGAAAGGTGTCTCAATTTAATTCAGCAAAAAATATATAGTTGAAAGAATCACAATAAATTTTTACTTGGAGAGAGCAAAGTACACACATTCATCCACCCACGTCAACTTCCCATCGTCATAAGTAATGATCCCACCTTGCAAATTCTCTCATGTAATTATGTAACCTACTAAAGGTGTATGTAATTCACGCCCCACTACATGCATAAAGTGAAGTGGGTCGTCATTCTCTCTTTTTCAAGTATTTCCCAACCAACCCGCCCACACAACGACAGGGTTGCTGCATCTATTTATTTACGTAAAAATAAAAGAGTTTTATAACATAAGTTAACAATAGGTGGATACATACATAAGCAAATAGGGAAATATTACTCTACTAAATAACGATAAGGTATTTAGAAATATGTACAAAAAGTAAAGAGTCATCAAGCCAATCTGCTGCTCTAGGCGACTCGATCATGTCTGGTTGGAAAATATAGGTTCGAAACTTGCCGAAGAAAAATACAACACCTCAGATCAAGCTCAAGGCCATAGATAGACAGATTTACATAAGTAGCGAGCAGGAAAAAGAGTACGTAGCGAGTAGGTAATAGAACTAGAGCTTAGGTACGATAATTAATTACTGCGTGGTGGATATATCTTCTACATGTAAACATAATAATGGCTTAAAAAATATGTAAGAGAATCATATTCATGGAGGAGGAGGGAGGAGATGAGGATTCGTGTAAGATGATCGTCCACCAGGAAGTTTACTCTATTTTGGGCAAGTTTTAATCACTAATTAATCGTAGCAATTAATTACTTGTATTTTTGCCGTCTAAAAGTACACATGCACTTAAGCTTAAAAAAATAAGAGTAGGAAATGAGATGAAACCACGAGTATGCTAATGTAGATCGAGTGTAGAGCTAGTTACATAGTTAGTTATTCTTGTTTCGTACGTATTATGTATGTATTATCACTGGACCTGACTACTCTGATTTACCTTGAAATGGTAATTCTACTCGAAGAAAAGGGAAGGAAAAAAAGAAAGTCGGAAACAAATAAACTTCTATTTTGTTGTTTTATTCTCTAAGGTGCTCTTTCAAACAGGATCAGAAAGAATCAATTCTTCTCATGCTCCTCCACAACCTTTTCCTCCTTCTTTATATCCAGACAAGAGATTCATTTACATTTTTTTGCCTCCATTCGTGGAAAACAAAAAAATGGAGATTGGAAAAGAAGAGACACATAAATATTATCCTTTTCTCTTCTCTGCAAAAATGTGAACAACTACACGATTCTCTCGAAATAAGAAATAGAAATAGAGAGGCAGAGATCCAATCCGAAAAAGTTGGGTTAATGAAATGTTTGTCAAAGTCAGACCAAGTGACAGTTGTGCTGATGCCATGAGAGGAAAAGTTTGGAGAAAGGATAGAAAACAGAACACAGAGCGTAACGATAATAATGATATTATTACTCCTTGTACTAAATATAACGACTTAATAATAATACCAAATATATTAGATTACATACATTACCGTGTTTTATATTATATCGTATCGTGACTATCTGTATGTAGGTCTGGAGAATCATTATTATTATTCTGCAAATTATCTGTACATGGTAATTCCATCATTAATTAATACATATTATTATTGTAAGTAAGTAAGTAATCGTTCCAGTAACATTTCTCCGGTGTGAATATTATATATATATAATTGTTATAATATTGAATCTTATTATTGTAATGTAGATTTTGAGAAAAAGTTTGACTGAGCAGTAGTGCAGATAGAAGAATACATGGTTTCGAAAGTATTTCGATAATGATAAATCACATTATTGTTATTATTATTAATTTTATTAGCAATTGTTGTAGTAGTATTATTTTTTGTCGTGATGGATTGTGATTTATATACTTGTATAATTATTATTGTCATAAATTCGTTGAGATTTGAGAAATAGTAAAAGGGAAGAGTAACCTCCAAAAATAAGGAAACGATTGATTATATGCAACACCAAATTATTAACGATGACAGCGAAAGGCTACTTGTTTATTTGTGCGTCTAGTACTAAGAACTAGAGGAGCGAAAGTGTCTGTAAAAGGGGAAATGTGTATGGAGATAAAATAAATCGTATTATTCATTCCGAGTAAATGTGCATATAAGCCATCTAATCTAATCTGACTATATTTTACTGTGTAAGAATATAAAGAGCGACGACTCATGTTTCCTCGTAAATGCTGAAAGTAAAATAAATGCGTAACGTGAAATGAGATGATAAAGTGAGAATGAGTTGTATTTCGGAACGGATTCTTTAAGGCTGCCTGGGAAGCAGGCACAAAAATAATTTCTTAAAAATGATGTTTAGGGCTCATTTTTGGACAGAATGGAAAACGGATCGGTAATTCTGTGGAGAAACCCATTCCCCACAGAATTACCGATCCGTTTTGCATTCTGTCCAAAAATGAGCCCTAAACATCATTTTTAAGAAATTCACTCTCCCAGGCACGGTTAAAATCTCAATTTCTGCACACTTTAGCACTCCCTTCGTACGAAGAGTAGTTGGATAGCTTCACATTTGCTACTTTACGACCCTCCTCTTTTTCATGTGGTGTTAAACCCGTGAAGGAGAAAGAAGCCGAATGGATGAGTGAGTGCGTTGATATCCAACCCACGCCGTGCTTCTCGTCGAGGAGTTGTTTGGTCAAGGTGAAAACGGATGCATATGTATCAGAAGAATAAGGAGCGTTTTTGAGCTTAAGTGCACACACAAAAGAAACACGACGTTTTATTCCTTGGAGCTATTTAATTTACATTTATGTCCATCTCTCCCACACATTCTTACTTTTCGCTCTTAATATCAATAAGTGATGGAGGAGGTGGTGGTGGTGGTGCTAGTCGTTTCTGAAAGTCAACAATTTTTTGCTTTCACTCTCCGTATGTGTATGTACCACAGGCCCGGATGCAGCGTCGTGTTGGTGGGCGATTTTTTTTACATCTCTGAATTTCGCAGGTTTAGCAGTTAGCCATATTGGTGGCGGCGGTGGTGGTGGTGGTGTGACCGGATAATAATATATTTCTCATATCCGCGACGACGACTTCTTTCTCTCACATAGGACTCGAGCAGACCCCACTTGGACTCATCTATTCTTATTACACCCATAAATTTATATCTTGAAAGCTGCTCCATTTCATTTCATTGGATTTCATCGGCTCATTCCGTTATTTCATTTCTGGCAACACCACCATCACGTTGTTCCTCTCAAAGCCTGCCTTTTCACTACCCAGCAAAGATCCAATCTCCGTAATTTTCTAGCCTATAATAAAGACAAGGTATAAAGCAGTGGGGGCTTTTTAGGCTTTTTGGGGGCTGAAATTTCCCTGGGTACTTACTTCCTTGTTTCGCACAACGTAACCTGACTCTTGATGCGAGGTGAGAGTGTGGATGTTAGCAAAGAAGCCAACAAGAGCAACATTTCACGTTGATTTATTTCGTCGTCAGAGGAGAGAATAATCCCTCCGCTCTGAGTGATTGACCCTCAATTCATATGTAGTTATGCCTCACTCGGAGTACAATTACGAGGGCACCGCACCACGACATATGCACTACGACCACTACGACTACTACTACTGCGACTAGAGTTACTACGCTGGTTGCTACTTGACTGTGTCATAACATTGACTGCTCATTAAATATTAATAACTCACACGGACATACATTTTACTGCTCTTCTGACTCCGTCCGACCTCTTCGTCGTCATCCAGTGCTATGATACGAGGCGAATCACATCAAAAATGCAAATCGCACCGCATCACGGGCCAAATTACTCATACACTCGACTTACCCTTTGCCTTCTGCAGTGTAAAATAACGGGACATATGTAATAATGGCTTGTAATGCAACAACAAGACAACAACAACAATGTTCCCACTGCTGAGGAAAAGAAGGGATATGTTTCCGAAAGAGAGAAAGTGAAGTAGGGATGGAGGAAGGCTTAGCATAAGCCGAATAACCAAACCACGGCTAAACACTGCAATGCAAATCCTCCAGGCTAGGATGGGATCAGGGAAAGTGAGCAACATAACTTCATAAATAAACGAGTAGCCCTGCTCTTCACTCCTACATTAAATATGTGACACGGGGGAGACTTTGGCTTCGGATGGTTCACTCAAACTACGACAACCATTTCCCTGCATCAACTAATTGTATCGTTAATAAAATAAAGAGCAAGCTATATTTTCATGGTTGAATACTACGATACATGGAATTCACAGCGAACAAGAAATGTATATTAGTGGGAAATAAAATCTTATTATGCTGCAAAAATTATTTGTATTCCAGTTTATAAATTTTATTCAAACAAGAAAATTTTGAAATTTCAACCAACAGTATGGAAATAATAATAAGTACACAGATTTTTCATCCCTAAGTGTAATGTAGATAGATGGGAACCAAGTACAAGAATTGAGGAATTTAGGACGATCAAAAGAATACTTTTGTAAAATTAGTAACATGAATAATTTGGTACCATTGAAATTAAACTGGTTATATGAGTAAGAATGATCCAAGAGGTTTAGGACAGATCTTGTTGACGGTCCTTGAAGAACTTGTAGTGTACCGGAGTCGCAGCTTTCCCAGATGCCTGCAAGGTACAAGTTTAGTTTAGACAAATTCCTAATGAGTGATGACGGTTCGAACAACTCGTAGATAAGGATACTTACCACTGCCTTAGTTGAAGAAGATGCATTGGTAGAAGTGGACGAGGAAGACCGAGATGAAGAAGATTCTTTATCGGAAAGACGGGCTCGCTTGATCGGAAGTTCAAAAGTCTGCAAATACCAAATTGTCAATTTGTAAATTACTAGAGCTAGTGCAATAACACTAGATATGTATTTTTTATCAGAGGAGAGAATAAACTTACGGGATCTTCTTTTTCGCTGGCAGACTCTTCTGACTCATCATCTGATACAGATGCAAGTGCCTTGACAGCTTCCTGGTATTTAGATCTCCGGTAGTCAGTTGTATGTTGAATGGAAGGTTCGTTCCATTTCACGCTTTTTTTCTCGGCCGATGAATTCCGACCGGTTCGCAAGATTCCCGACGGGGTGTTCTTGACGCTGCCAAGTCCCATTGACGAAGAATAACGAAAGGGAGACGCCCGATTTTCAGTTAATCCTTCAATCTTACGAAGCAACTCGCTAAGCTGGCATTGAGACGAGTCAACTTCCTTGAGAAGACGACAATTCTTGCTCTCCGATTCCTCCACTTTTTTGATAAGTTCATCAACCTCAACTTGATGACACGATTTTGCTTCGTTCAAAGTAGCGTGCAATCCATCAATCTTCCGAAGCAACTCTTTAAGCTGGCATTGTGACGAGTCGACTTCCTTGACAAGAAGAGAATTCTTGTTCTCTGATTCTTGCACATTCTTGTTAAGTTCATCTAGCTCAACTTGATGAAGCGATTTTGCTTCCTCCAATGCAGCGTTTAATCCCTCAATCTTCCCAAGTAACTCTTTAAGCTGGCATTGTGACGAGTCGACCTCCTTGACAAGAAGAGAATTCTTATTCTCTGATTCTTGCACATTCTTGTTAAGTTCATCTAGCTCAACTTGATGAAGCGATTTTGCTTCCTCCAATGCAGCGTTTAATCCCTCAATCTTCCCGAGTAACTCTTTAAGCTGGCATTGTGACGAGTCGACCTCCTTGAGAAGGAGAGAATTCTTGCTCTCCGATTCTTCAATCTTCTTGTTGAGTTCATCCAGCTTTACGTGATGAAGCGAGTTTGCTTCATTCAATACAGTGTCTAAATCTTCAATCTTCTGGAGTAGCTCGATAACCTGGGATTGAGACGAGTCAACCTCCTTGACAAGAAGAGAATTCTTGCTCTCCGATTCTTGCACATTCTTGTTGAGTTCATTTAGCTCAACTTGATGAAGCGATTTTGCTTCGTCCAATGCAGCGTTTAATTCATCTGTCTTCCGAATTAACTCGCTAAGCTGGGATTTAGACGAGTCGACCTCCTTGAGAAGGATAGAATTCTTGCTCTCCGATTCTTGCTTGTTGATTTCTAGAAGTCGCACTTTGTTGTTGAGTTCATCTACCTCGACTTGATGACTCGATTGTGCTTCATTCATTGCAGCATTTAATTCATCAATCGTCTGAAGTAACTCGCGGTGCTGACGTTGAACGGTGTTGTTGAGTTCATCCAGCTCAGTTTGGTGGGCCGCTCTTACTTCGTCAAATGTAGCATTAATTCTTGCAATGGTTTTAAGCGATTTCGAGTGGATGTTTTGCTGCTGAGTGGCTGCAATTTCCATCAACTGCAATATACGAGTCTTCAACTGTTCAATATCATCTTGGTTTTCTTCACACTTTGATTTTATGCTGTTTTCTATATAGTGGAATTCTTCCAATGCGTTGGAAATAACGGCTTCTCTTTCATTCATTGTTTCCAACCTAAATGCAAAATTACATTATATACTAATCATCTTATCAATCATTACGTAATAAATCAAGTCTACAATTAAACTTACAATGCATTAGCTGTGCACCGCTTCGTTTCATCATCTTCGTGTTGTTGCTTCAAACCTCGATTTTCTTCAGCGACTTCTTGGATTTCCTTGTCCCTCTTGTTCAGAGAACTCTGCAACGCCACGATTTCCTCCTGTTGTGATTTTATAGTCTCCTGTAGGCTCAACTTCTCTCTCGAGAACTCTCTCACGGTCAGCTCCAAGTTCTTGTACGCAGAGTCGAATGTTGTTCGCCTCGTAAGGATACTCCCACTGGCGGCCGCTTGACTGCCTTCAGCCTGAGATGAATCCATGTTTACCAACCGTTAACAATTAATCGTCAACCTATAAAACCAAATTATATATTTAGTAAAAAGTCCACTAACGAACGTGATGAAAAAAAAATGGCGGCCCACCACACAACCCAGCCAGACAGTCAACCCTCACTTAAAAACTTCAAAAATACTACTAAACTCACCTGAGGTGATGAAATCCTACTCTTACTCGTGATAGTGAATGTCAATTATTCGAAATGGAAAATTTTGATACTTTTTATGAATTGTGGAAAAAATCAGAGTGGAACGAAACCAGGGACACAACGTTCCAACTGGATGAGAAAACGCAGAATGAGCAAGGAGCGAGAAAAAGTGGCCGTTGTGCAAGGGAGACGCTGCTCTGCTCTACTACGTAGTACTTTTCCGGGCAGGATTTATCCTCTCGTTCCGCTAAAGCAGTGTTCTAAATTTTACTAGTTTAATTTAATTTTGCTTGTTTCTACCCGTTTTTGACCACTTTTTGAAAGTCAAAAGTGGTAAAATAATAAGAAGTGGTAAACACTTTATGCTGCAAAGCAATGTAATGTTTTGCAACAACTTCTCCCTTACTCGTTTTTAGTCAATACAATATATGTACGTATATATAACAAGTTGTTATTAACAACATGCATGGAAATATTTGTCTCACATTCCCAACATCGGTTTTTACCACTTCTTACCACTTTACCAGTTTTTAGCTGGGTGGTAAATACCACTGTGAATTACCCGTTGCCAATAAGTTTTGCTTTGCCTCCAGCTTTCATTTCAATCGGTTGGGCATTCTGCTCACGGAGGAGAAGAAGCAGCAGCAGATATGACAGGATGGAACTACGTCTTGTGGGTTTTACAATCAAGTCGGTGTTGGTTGGCGTGCAGGCAGACTTTCTCCACCACTTTCTCCCTCCATGATGATAGATTTGCTCTTCGTGACTATTTCGGATGAAAGAATGTCCTTCTCACAGTTCTCACTTTTTCTCATCATCTTTTACTTTACACTTATTCACACCACATCCACACCCACCAGCTTCATGTACCCTCAAACTTGTGTGGTACAAAAACGAGTCTGTATAGCGAGCTTGTCAAGTGACCTCAACCCTGGTTCGGAGATAACATTCTTATAAATGATTGTTACTTTGGTAGGAATGTAAACACGAGGACATAAAGATTTTTATTACTGAAAATGGCAAAATTCGTGTAAAAAGTATGTATGCATATAATATATTTATGTATCTGGCTGCTTCACTTTTTTAATGTGCTGCTGCACAATTCCAATTTTAATTTTTAACAATTTTAATTCCTGCTTTTGCGGGGTTTGGCCATTGCAATTTTGTAATTTATGACATTATAATGTGACTCAATAAACTATAATTAATGTTTGAAAATGATTGATAAAGCATTTCGAATTATTTACATTGTTTACATTTTGGATTCATCTCACTCTACAATTGATTTTCTACCCTGCTCTGGATTACTGCTAATTTTGAGTGTTGCATTTGAGGTGCACAATGTTCCTGGTCTTTATAACGACCATCCTGCCCCCCACAAGGACTGACAATTGCATGTGTGTCTGTTCTAGTCTCATCTGAAGAAAGAGAAAAGTCGTCCTGCTTTCCTTTGTCAATATTTTTTAGATCTAGCGAATAACTCTTTTCATCTGGGCATGAATGACCCACACACCAGGACAGAGATTAATGGTCTCATTTCTCTCTCCACGCTGCCTCTTCTACCGGATTTCTCCTCTCTTCACAAACTGACTCTGTCTACTTCAAGAACGAGGAAGAAGAAGAACCACAACTCTCCTCTACTTTACTCGATATTAAGTATTAGAGATGTTCTTCTTGGTCTTCTTCTTGTAAAATAAATGGCAAGGAACAAGAATTTGAGGGTCCGTGTAGAACACAGATTGTATAGCGGAAGACAGTTTACTTTAAATTGCTTCACTCTTAGGAAAAGGATTACTTGCATGCATTGCATTATTTTATTACTGATAGGTACTTCTCTAAACTCGGAGTGAATTCCACTGAAAAACTTTGAAGTTTGGATGTTGGAGGAGTGGAAGGAGTGTCTTTGCTGCCTGGTCGTCCATGTCGTCGTCCTATTTTGAAGTGACGCGAAAGACAACACACATATAACTTTGCAGCGTGGAATCCCACTGAAGCTAATCCCCTCTGACTGCAGATAAATACATGGCTTTCCACATTCAATTCAATTCTACGAGAAGATCTACTTTCTCCCTTACAAAAAGCAGCGATTCGGATGAAAAACATGGTTCCCTTCATTTATGGAGCGTTTAGCCAACATGTGGAAAATGGGACTGGATCAAGCAAGACAAAGTCGGTTATAGGGACTCGAGTCAGTGTGGGATATGGATGGACCTCAAGTTTTAAAAAATGAGGAGGATTTCCCAAAATATTTCATGGACATGGACCCAAAAAGAGAAGGGGAGGTCCTGCTGTCTTCCTCCTACTTCTTATTCTTTTCTCTGCTACATGTATAACAAATGTGCATGTAGGGTCGTCACCGTCGTCACCCATACGATTTTTGCAATATATGTATGCATATGAGACCTTAGAAGAAGACCGAGGAGCTAGGGCAGGGCAGATTCCTTTAAGAAAGAAGGATGAAAGATCAACTGCTTATCATCCAGAGACAAAAAGTTGGAAAAAACATTCAATTGAATTTAAGTTTTTTCTTCCTCTCTCGCAGATTGCAAAAGTGCTGAATTCCACAAACCAAACGAATAGGAAGACTGTGCAGTTCATGGGGATGCAGATATGGATATGCATTTCATGTCTACACACACATATACATAACTGAAGAAAGGAGCAAATTTGCTCTGTCATCCGTGAATGAAAAATGTATCGCGCTGCATGTGTGCAAGATTATGTGAGCAGCAAGTTCAAAAATAACGGAATCAGCGAGGCTAAATTTCTCATTGTCCCAACAATCCGGGTGGCCCCTGGCTTGTCCGAAGGGAGGGGGGAAGAGGAAGTAGAAGGTGAAGGATTACAACAGGATGCCATTGTTGGGTCATAACCTTGAATTACAATTCAGAATAAGACTCCGAATTCGAAATCCTACAACTTCCTCTGTTCGGTTTGTCATGCAAAACTTGTTCACGGAGCCATCATGATGGATTACAAACACATTATGCTAATATTCCTCGTCCTACCGGGGAAGACGCAAGTGAGGCATCATCATCAGTATTAGGCTGGCTTCTGGTTGGCAGGCAGGCGGAAGACCACTTAAGTCTGAACGACAGAAGGACGGGAGGCGAATAACGCGAGCAGTGGTACCCAAGTCCTTCAGGATATCTCACCAGCAACCCAGGCGTAATGATGACATTGGGCGAAGCCGATTACCAAACGCACGTTCCAGTTGTCGGCCCACCTGTCACAGAATAAAATGAGGTGATGGGTTCATCATAATTTTAGCGAGCTTAGATTTCATATAGCCAAATTTATTGGGCAGGATAACTTTCCACTATTTCTACCAGTTCAAACAATAAATCCTACAAGTCAAGTCAACTTTCCCTTCTGGTGAAACCATTTACTTGCATGAACATACGACGAATGGTTCGAGCTATTCTCGGCCTTGGCACGAATTAAGAATTACTAAAATGTTTCGACGAACGCATTTGGTTGAACTGCTTAGAAAATATGCAAAACCAACAGGACGATGAAGCAAAATTTGTTCAACTTCCACAAGTGGACCAACTTATCTACTCTTCAGCTCAAAGACAGTAATCCAAACTATCCCCGTTTCCCCCTCTCTCGGGAACGACAAGGGAAAAGAAAGGTTGGGACGGAGAGAGAGAGAGCTTTCACCAGACATACATACATGCACATTGTTCCAGATCCACTTATACCGGACAACAACTAAACAATAGACAGTGGTTGGCAATTTCTTGAGAGGAAAGTGAAAGCAGCTTAAAGACGGAAGTGCATGCATATACGGGACGGATAGGACGAGAATGATGGGGAAAGAAGAAATTTTAATGTTACTTGTTTCTCCTTCGACTACAATGATGTTTAATCCACACTAATTCTTCCAAAGATGAGATGAAGGGTATTATTTTAGAGGCGGAAGAGTGAATGACAGGCAGTTCTTCATCTGCCTCCAGAGCACATTCCATCTTTATTTTATCCTCTTATTGTTTTACTCTCCTGCTCGTTGCCGTCCTCCTTTTATTTATTCGGTCACATTTGTTTAAGTCCGACTTATTTCAAATACCAAGAAATGGCAGTTATTATCAAAGCTTCACCACCACCACCACCACCACCGCCGAGAGATCGGTGGTGACTCTTGTACCATCTTTCTCATCATCTATTGTGCGATTCCCCAGTTGAATACAAATACAAAATGTACTCCACTCGTTGGCTCAAGATAAGTAGTCTTGCAAAGTTTAGTTGGGTGGGTGACTTGACTTGACGGGATGGAATTCAAAGGTTTGTTATGGGCAGACATCAACTACGAGTGAAGTTCACGACTACTTTTGCTTCTTTGTTTGATCTTAAAGGGATGATGCAGTTCTTCGTCCTGTTTTGTCGAAATGTTGTTTGGTGTGAAATGAAATATATGTATTCATTCATTAGTTGGTGAAACAGTATGTGCACAGAGAGCGAGAGTTGAGAGAATTCACTCAACATTTCAAGACTACATCCTCTTTCTTCGAGGGCCTCATCCTATTCATTTACTTGGTCTCTTCAGTTTTCAACTAACTAATAAAGTTGGATGGGAAGAAGAACAACAACAACAAACTTTATTTTATCATTTGCTCATTTATGTAAATAGAAGGACACAACTCGGAAATATACTAAATTGATTAATGGTCACGAGAAGAAAACTCGGAGAGTTCAGTAAATACATAAATATTAACAAAATATTTCAATTCAACACTGATATAAAATTTCGGATAAAAAATTTAAGCGATTGTCACATGAATGTCATCTTTGGGAAATTGACATCTCTCCCTTTTCCATATCCATTTCATACGCATTTCAAACCCCTCCTACATAAACACATACAAAAAATCGTTAAATTTGACACATGAAACGAAACGTAAATGGGAACGAAAGTTGTGAAGAAACTTGGAATTCTTCTCCTTCAAGAATGATACACTCGGACCTTTTCTACTTTTCTCTCTCTTCATGTGAGTGAGTGATGCGTCTGACTCAAGTATTTGTATTTTTTCATTTCAAAAGACTTTCTCCTCCTCCTGAATACCATTCTTCCGTGGACATTTATTTGGTTTGCTGAGTTGGACATGACAGAAGCATGCAGGGGGTCAACTTAACTGGTGATGAACGTGGCTGGAACACAGAGTTCTCCACCCCCACATTTTGCTCGAGTAGTAACGACGACGACATACGCATAATCTACAACTCATCCATAATTGGAGGGGAATTGAAACCAGCAAAAAATATCAGGCTGCCGTTCCTTATATGCTTTTATGTCCTGCATGAAATGCTGCAGTTACGATTGCAGTTAGAGAAAATACTAGAGGGGAAAAAGAAGAAGGAGGAAGGAGGAGGAAGGATTTGGTTTCATTCAATTGACGGCGACGTTCTCTCTCCAATCTCGAAGAAAAAGTTGAGAGAAGAGTTGAACTGCTCACCCACCAAATCCTACTGTCATTTCGTGGAGTTTACTTATTTATTACGAGCTTTTATTTTGACTCTTTCTCCCTATTTTTAGATAGGAGCAGCGATTTTCGTTATTTATTTTATCCCATTGACGGGGACGAGATATCGTGTGGGAGGAAGCGGCTGCGGGCTGGATTGCGAAGAGACATAATGGAGGTGCAGTAGATAAGGTATATGTATTTAAAGGTATGTCCTGTGACAGGTGGGATTTTGTGGGTAACTTGTCGGAAATTTTTTTTAAATTGAGAAAAGAGCTTGTATAGCGAAAAGTACGGTGGGTGCTAGTTCATTTTCCAGAACGTCGTATCATAAAGAGCAGTCGATTTCATGCAGGTGCTGGTGGTGGGAGTTGGAGGAAAATTAGAGGTGTGTGTGATGATGGGAAATAATAAAGGTGTGTGCGGGGCCAAGGTGGCAGTGGAGGAAGGAAACCATAAATGTTATCGGATGAAAAATAAGGTTTGATTCGAACTCGGATAAAAGAAGGTATAAATCTGGTGATGCAAAGATCAGATCAACCATATCGATACGGAAAATGGGGCTGGTTGCAGAGTCAAATCGTAAAATTGCGTAGTTTTTTATGCGTTTTATAAGCAATTAATAAAAGTTTGTCAGACGTTCAACGTCAAGTTTAAACCTTTCCTACCAACTTTATGTCGTATTTATTTCGCCCTCATAGAAAATAAAGTGGATTTTGGTATACTGTAAGTGTATGTATGTAGGTGAAGGGTCAGAATAAAGAAAAAATGTGAGACGCCAACAAATCAAAGCGTCAACTGCACACTGTCGTATCAAACGAGAACTAAAAACTTAACTGTTTTAGGTTTCTCAAAAAGTGGGAATAAATTCGGGAAATGTTTACATATGCAAACAGCCGGGTTGTTTTGGGAAACTTTTTCCTGATTGTGTGGTCTTGTAGACTACACACCCATACACACAAAGTTGTCTACGCATTGTTCGCACTCTGCTTTTTGACTTTTCCTCTTCCCATGAAATAAAGTGAAGCAGGGGCCACCGCGAGCAGGAAAGACAAGAAGAAAGAAAGAAAGACAAAGTGGTGGAGTAAGTTGGAAGGAAAAAGAAGACGAAAAGAAAGCAATCTCATTTTTTTCAGTGGTCTGCTTTCCACCACTACAAGTACAAGGAGGCAACAAAGCTTTCCATCCCATTCCACCCGTTTTGTTCTCTGAATTACGAACCAACCAACTTTTAGCATTTACCCGACCAAACTTTGTTGTTGAGATTTAAATAGTCTTTTTCCTCTTCTCTTGCCCTTTTTACTCCTCAAAGTATTGCAGCATACACAGTGTGCATTCTTCTCTCTCTCTTCTCCACAGCTTGTTTAGATCTCTGGGTGAAAAGTCAACTCATTTGCAAACAAAAGAGGGAAATGAACCGTTGGAGAGGGAGAGAGGGGGAAAAAGAGTCGAGGAGATACAGGAAATTAGAAGAATCACAAGGTTTTGTGTCGCGTCGTGTCTGCCGTTCTTCATTCATGATTGATAGGAAGGATGTTTTAGGAATTAACATCATTGCATCGCATCACCTTTTGGCCACTTGACTACCAGTCAGCCTCCACCCATCCACTTGTCTGTCCGACAGTGAGAGAGTGGAGGGAGGGAAAGTAGCCCACTTTCTCTCAGCGTGCTATTTTTATACTTGGAAAGTGGAGATGCACCACCACTTTCACTACACTGGAATCTGACTGCATGGAGTGGCTTTTATTGAATTTAATTAACATAATGTTGTCGATCCTTCACTAGAATGGAGATGATTTTTCCAACTGAATAGTTCCTCCTCCTGCAAAAATAAGTGTATAGAAATCAGACCAGACTTTATTTCACATATGGAAGTATGTGTATCTATATTTCTCTTCATCCGTTTTTACCACACGCACAAACGCAGTGTCCAAGTCAACTTCTTTGGACTCTCTCTTGAAAAAAAATCCGCTGTTTAAATGATGATTTTCTTAACTCTCGAGATTTTTGATGGTGAAAGTTCAAAGGGGAAAATAAATAGGAATGGAGAAAAGGAAACGTTTTCACATTTTTATAGACCCTCCACTTGCCCTCTTTCCACCGAGTTAAATTTAAATTCAGAGGGAAGGTGAAGCAATTAAAGTGGAGATCATGGTGACGGCGGAGGTACGAGGATGACTATTTCTAAGACTTTTGAGACGACGAAAGATATAATTTTGTGGGCGAGACGAGTCGGTGAATGTAAGGAGGGCAGAATATACATATCTTGCAAATGTCCCCTCCCGCCCACTCATTACGTGTAATGTGGAATATTTTCATCATTTAAATGACACATTGAAGAAGAAGAAGGTCTTTGTAATAAAACAAAGCCCAAGAGCTCATATTTCACCGAGTTAGTAGAGATTAAGTCTTTCCCCTTATGCAAATAGCCACTTGTGCGGGAACGTTGTAATATTCTGGGCGAATATTACTCCTGTTGGGCAACCACGTGGAAGAAGGGAGAAAGTGCTGTGAGATTGTGTTTATAAGTACTTTTCCTTCTTACTGGAAGAGAGAGATAGAGAGGGACATGTCCTTCTGAATGTTTCTCAATAATTGCCGTTAATGTGTGCAGAGGAGGACGAGGAAGCTCTTCTTGTTCTTAATAATAAGTGTTTATCCTCAAGATGAAAGATTTCCTGAGGGGTTGCAATCATTTCCGCTCTCCTCTCCTACTCTCTGATGTAGATTGTCATTAATTGCAATTTTTGATAAGAACAGCACTCACGATTTCTTGTAAGGAAGGAAATGAGCATTTCAAGTAGGCATTTCAAAATTAAAGTGGAAGGGGCTTCAAATTTAGTAAAATGTCAAACAATTAAATTTTGTATTTAGTAGGTTGAAATCATTTTGTTGGGCAAAACTTTTCCCTTAAAATGATAACATAAGATCAAGTTTAGGAAAACTATGAAAGTAGGGGCGAAGGTGCTGGTTGTATGCAATCCAATATCTCAGCAGAGGCCAAAGTCTGTCTTCTTTTTGGAACAGGATAACATTTCGCCATACACCAGCTTCAGCCATCTGGCGACTTTCTCCGTACGAAAGTTCACTTTTTGATGGATAAGAGTACGGCAGGAAGTGAAAGTGCGTTGAATTCGGCATGGAAGATGTCGCCTTCATTCCCAGTACAGAATTCTGACCTAACCCTTTTCTCAAAGAACCAATGCTGAGCATGACATGATGAATTGTGATCCCCTTTTATCAGAATCTGTCATATCTTTTCCCACAATACGCCATAAATGTAATTTGTATAACAAGCAGCCTGAAACTAATTGATTTCATTCTCCAATTCAAAGACCCCCTTCATTCAATTCTTTCAACTTTTTTTATCTAAATTAAAAATTGTTTCATTAAATTGAATGAACGGATGAAATAAAAATTTCCATATTTCGCATCTCTCACGCCTCTCAAACTTTTTTCTAATTAGTGGAGACGACGGGTGGTGGTGAGAAAGTTGGGACACACATTAATAATAGATAAGTGAGATATCTACTATACCAATATACCCATTTTTTCTGTGAATCTCTCTCGGGGTTGGCTTGATTGAAATAATTTTCAAAATTCCTAAGAAAAAAATGACTTCTAATCAAGTTTACTCAGAAGAAGTATGAGCAATTACCGGAGTTTTGTGTCGATTTGAAATCTACGGAAGAAGAAAATAGAATTACTACCCCAAAAAGCAAACTAAATAGTCACAATGGGTACACTAATCTTGTAAATAATTACGTTACTCATTGTTCATCACGGGAGGGAGACATGAATTGCAGGGTAAATTAAGCAGGAATAAATCTGCAGAAAGAGACAGACGGTGCTCCTCTTCCTCCTTAACAAGTGCATCATCCGATTAAGTAATGTCGGTTCGTTTTGAGAGTAAATTATGGTGCGCAAAATAATCGTAATGCGGAAATGAGCCCAACATAAAGGCGGCTGAGAATTAATTTCTTCTATTTACCTACTTGCTACCACCTTCATGGTCTTTTCTTGGTGGGTTCATCAGTTCCTTTCACTCCATCCAGTTACTTGGCATCGCATCGTCTTCGTCGTCGTCGTCATCGTCATCGTCGTGCTTTGCAAAGTAATTCTTTACTTATCTTCACCTTGTGAACGAATGGGAAAAACAGTCCCTTAATTTAATTCTAGCTGCTGTTTATCTTGAGTCGAGTTGAAGTTTATGTTTGTTGAGGTTTTACCCCACTGCATAAATTACCTCTCATCTGACAGCGGTCCTTAACGAGAGATGGGGAAGGATTTCTCGTGATTAAGTGACTCACGGTGGTGGGGAAGATTAAGGTGCTTAGTGCTCACCTTAAGATTTATTTATTCAAAGTGGATGGACAGATGAGGTTTCTTCGAGTACATAAAAATGCAATCGAACAAAATGGGCGGACAAATTAGTAGTTTCAATTTCAATGTGCCAGCATTTATTTTTAAAATTCGCTATACAATATTTTGACATACTTTTACATAATAATAATAATAATAGTAATCAGTACTAGTAATATTTTCTCCCTGATTGAAAAAGGATGGACTAAATACACTCCTCTTCTTCGGGTAAAGTGGAAGTAGATCGAGCCGATGATATTTTTGGTGTGTAATTAATAGTACGAGTACGACGAACTACTAGATAATTATTTAATTCTAGTTTAAACTTAATTACAGAGAGTAGAAAAGCACCACTATAATTTCTTGTAGTACCACAAAGTACAATGTATACATTTCCTCTTCTCATCTCCATCCTCGTTGACCTGCGTGCCATTTCTCAATGTTAGTAATTAGTAAGCATTAAAAATCACCTTTCTCTCTCTCCCACTCGGTTATAAATGTTAACAAATTTGTCTCCCAGAGTAGACATCTTAATATATTAAATTACCATTAGTTTAACATCAATATAGAATACATTGCTCATGATAAGACGAGTCTCACAGCAAATGAGAGACGTGTGTGCTTCTCCTCCCACAATTTTGGATACCCAAATACGTACTTTAATCTTCAAACCTATAATTTTCACCTCCATGGAAGATTCGAGATTGCTTATCTTTAATGTGTTTCAGAAAAATAAAAATCCATCTGGTTTTCTTCCTCCAACTCCAACAGTCGCATTGCATGGAGCAATGTGCCCACTAATAATAGGGATTTATTAGTGCTGACGGATATCTTCACTAATTATTACAGTGTTTCTTCATTCATTAGTAATAATAGGAATAACTGAACTGGTGGGTGGGCGGATGGTGGTGTTGCTTACTCAATTTATAATTTCATCATCACCATCCTGCTAACGAATCATGCTTGGTTGGCTGGTTGTTGTCTGTGATTAGAATACATGCATTCGACTCCCGGACAAAGAAGGAGGACTCCACTCTCGGACATCAAATAATGTGTATAGAGGCAGTAATTGTGCTTCATCAACAATAAGCCAAACCTATTGTGTAATTTCCTCATTAAACTGTTGGGATTTAGAACAAGGCTGTTTTGACGGCTCAAAGGGAAATGTCCAAACTCTTGCTCACTTATTGTTAGTTGTGGTGACAGACTTGCATCATGATGGTTGGTAAATTTCTAATAATCGTTATTACGCACGTAATATTCTTGTGCAACAATATTTAATACGGAATATAATCACCCCCTCAAAGTTTTTATAATTCTAAATAACTTCTTCTCAACTAATTAATCGTTCCTAACATTACGAGTCAAATTCGAAGGATGATTTACGCATTTCGAACATTGGAATTGGTGGCTGTTGTTGCGGCTGTTGCTGCTCGCGATGGTGTTGAGTTACGAGATGTTGAGAACCCGACCCTATCGATTCCGGCATCACGGGAACGTATGTCGATGACGGGGACGTTTTCGAATGGTGGTGCATCGCTTCGTCAGCCGCGGACTCGTCACGAGAAGAGTGACAACAGCGCAGCGCCAGGGTGAGTTCTCCCTTCATTTCGGAACACAGGGGGGCCTGGAAGTTATCAAATAGCATAATATTTTATTCCCAGTTTCCTTCTAATTTACTATATGAAAGGTAATTAATTTGCCATTAATTACGCAGCAGGTACTTTTATGATATGCATGTAAAGACGAGAAAACGGGGGACAACTAACTGTCACCAAGCTTTTGTTTTCCTCGGCACACACAATGAGTAATTTTTGCTGGGATGACATATATGACAAGTATTTTTATTCTCCCTTTGACTTTTGCCTCGCTGCATGCATTATGTAAAAGTGGGGAGAGGAGAAAGCAGGGCATGTGTTGTGTTGCTCCTCCATCCAAAAGTACGTACAAATGGGCTTCCTCTTCTGCAACCTGAATGAGAAGAATGAGCACGAGATATTTATCTCAGATTGCTCAGTTTACAAACTGGAGCAGAGGCCGAAGAAGGAAGGCAGTGAAGGAGGAAGGGGAAAGCAGTGCTGTGGATATTTCTTGCTTTGTCTTCTTCTGTCTGGCAAAACTCCAATCCAATGAATGCACTCATCCCCATATATTCCAATTTCTACAACTTTTACACATTTACTATACTGCGGTGGTGGGACAAGTCGTGTGTTCCTACATGGATGAGTCTCGTAATGTAAATGCAAACTAATATGTAATGTAATGTGATTCCGGTGGTGGTAAAAATGCTCCTTCACTCCAGCACGGCGTGGCTTCCAGTAAGTATGTAATACATTCTTCTCCTAATAAAGTGAGCAGGAAAAAATAGGCGTTTGTTGGAGGGATCCAACATCTACACATTTATTATTGTCAAATTATGCAAAATATTAAAAATGAAAGTCGTAAAAGTTGGGAAAGAAATAAATCCAGATTTGAAGATTGTAATTTCATTCAACGTAACCCTTATAAATATTATTTTGGAGATTTTACAAATCTTCCTTCCTCTCGGAAAGGGGGAAACTTTGTAAATTTTTGAATTGTGTTTCTCTGATTGGAAATGAGTACGAAAACTGCGACTTTTTTTTGAGTGGGATTATTTACTCGAGATTCGATTTTCATTCCGAAAATGAGAAAGTTTAACACTACAGGAAATAAAGAGAAAGCAAGGAAATCTGACAGAAACTCTTCTGTTCTGTATAAAAAATGAGGATGAATGTGACAAGTGGCAGGACAGCATGTGCAGTAAATTTATATTAAAAAATTAAAGTAATCAACTACTCCTCCACCACAAGGAGGAGAGAGAGAAAGGCTGAAATGTACACTGAGCGAATGAATGGGATGGGTTTCTAAAGTTTGGGGACAAGCTGTCCTCATAAAATAACAGGGACGAAATAAGTGTTCCTCACCACCATCCTCTGGGATTGGGACGAAGGACATGGGACCAAGGCAAAGTAAATGAAGAAGGAATTAGAGAGTGAGTAGATGGACGCCGAACTATTTTAAAAGGAGAACACTAACTACTCGTCTGCCAAATTCAGTACAAAAGAACGACCAACTAAAAGAATTTGAGAGTCCTACATACTCGTAGCCTAGTCCCGTCCTGGATGTGGGTGGAGGAGCGAGGAGACTGCAATACCGATATGAGACCGAGACGCTACAACTAATACTTTAAACCGAGAAACATGTATACATTCATGGCAAAGTTGCATGGTTAGTTAGCCCGACATGCAACAACGATTGATGTTGCTGGAAGTTATTTCTGGGTGGGTGGGATAGTAGTCAAGTATTTAGCAGACTTCTCGATACTGGGGTGGCCATAGGGCAGGCGTTATATGGACATGCACTGTCCAAATTTAATAAAACTGCTGACATGCATATTCTTCAACAATTCGCATAACGAAGGACCCAGAACCAATTAACGAGCTGCCCTTGTAGATTATTAATAGGAATGAGGAGCGAGTAACAAGATGAATGGTAACCTAGTTATTTTGATGGAGCTATTTTGGAAATTTGCTGAAAATGTCAAAAATTGTGGACACTGAGGAGTGAAACTATTTGATTCCGACTTTCACTTTGTAGACACACGCGGCGGACTGCATCCACCTCATGTCGGAGTCCGTTTGAAAATATAAAAGTGAAAGTCCTTGCAAATATCTTTCCTGATGGCTCATTCACTCATGAATGAGCCCACAACCCGATCCTCAAATGTAGTGAAAGTGTTTAAATCAGAAAGTGCATGGGGACACACAAACGAGGGCTGAATGGTGGGATCCAACCCGCCCAATTCGAGTCTTCCTCACTTGAAGGATTAAATATTTCTCCATTAGTCCGACAATGCTACCACTCATAAATGATAAGATTGCCAGACTCAGCGCTGAGCTAAGCAACTAGCCGTCATCATTATCATTATATTCACTAAACCAAGACGTAGCCAAAACCCGCGAGTCAACCTAATGTAAAGTTATATTACCAAATATCTTCTTGGCATCGTATGAGAAAGGAGGAGGAGGAGGAGAAAAAAGTAAATAAATATCATCGGAAATACGCAGAAATAAGCTGAAATGTGAAACATTCCTTCCAAATGTGCGCAATTAGTGCTGTTACCACTGTGCTCCGAGTACATTTTTATTTTGTTTGGATTTTAGAGAGAGAAAGAGAATTCCGAGTTGGTTGGGCTGGGCCGGATGGATGGATGGATAGATGGAATTGGAGCAAAAAGTAAAAGTGATGATGGGGAGGAAACAGCATCACTACGACTTGTACATACATGCACAATGATGAGAACCCTTTGAGTTGGCCGACGAACAGCTAAAATGAATTAGTCGACACTTTTGGGAATTGGGGAGCTAAGAGAGAACTGAGAGGAGTCAACGACATGCCTCAGACGTCGACATTATTATTACGCAATGCAACTGGGAAAAGTGGCTCCTTGGGGAACGTTTAGGAATATTGCTCCTCGTCCTCTCATCGAGATTCTCCTTGCACTGCTCGTGCCATGATTTTCTCCCTCTTACTTTAGGAAGATATGAGCATTTTTGCAAAAATACTACCCTCATTTTCAAGCAGGCACTCACCTTCTTCAACTTTGCATTTCTCCGCACATGACAACAAAACTCGCAAATTGCAACGACAACGGCGAGAATAAGGCCGGCAAAGAGAACGACAAAGACACCGCCGATGTTATCAATGCCCAGGGGAGATGCCTGCGGAGAAAAAAAATCACAAAAATTAATTAATTAGCCCAACCTTTCAATAATTGCGTTACATAACACTCATCATTTTAAATTTTCACATGATTGAACACTTCAGAAATATTACATAACTTTCTAAAGTATGTGCATCCTAATAATAATATTTATTCAATGAGACACCCCAAAATTAGGTCATTACATCTCAAGGCATGTACATTTTAAAAAAACCATGGATAAGGCAGTATGATAATATAGTTAGGATAAAGATTCAATTTAAATAGTCTCTATTGTTTTCATATTCATCGATCATATTAAAAATAATAATAAGTATCCGATACAGTTTTGTATATTTTGAAAAATAATGACACCCAACAGTAATGTTTCTGCTCAATTAAAATACCGATATCTCACAAGAAAAAAATAGGGTAAGTAAGGCTAATTATGGATACATGAGGGAGTACAACTGACAAAAGTGGAAGAAGGTCCTTCGAAGTCTAGATAATTTAATTCGAGACAACTTTTCTTCGAATACTTTGCCGAACAATTTCATTAACCGTACACGGAGTCCCCTTCCTCATCAAATTTCAATCCCAAACTCCCCCACGTTTATGAAGGACTTCACATAAAGTAGAAATCAAAGGTGACTTATTTGACAGTGCCTAAAATTCCTCAGAATAGTGATTGAGTGTATCCACTCAACAAACTATAAAATTACATTACACCCACTATCCTAAACGCAATATGTAATTTGAAGGGATTTGAAATTAATTCATTTGAAACCTTATTTTCAACCAGAGCTCAGAGGAGGAAGGTAACGGCGATGCAGACAAAGGAACTGGAGATAATTTGAGTGAAGGGTGGGTTAGGTTCATCTGGGAGATCAGATATTCACTTGATTAAAAACCACAAAGTTACAATCTTCGTCTCACAACTCCAGTTAAACTGACGATCAAAACGCGTCATTATTTGGAAACTTAAAGGTCTTTATAGATTAACATAAGGACGTAATTAAATAATAGGTTAATACTGATCAAATTGTATACATCTTAACGAATTGTACGCAAATAAACAAATAAACTTGCTTTAGAGTCCTTTTTGTCATCCCGGTTGCAAACGTCCCCAGTGTTTTTCCACCACTTATTGTACATCAGTTGGATCATGCCTTTCTCCTGGAGTTCGAGGATAGCGAGAGATAACTTATCTCGCCACGGTGACCCTGCAACCAAGATAACGTACGCATTATTGACTTTACTTACATCCTACATACTGCATCCTGGAGTTATGTGCGTAGTTAATTTCCTACGCAGTTCTTAACTTACCCTTCGGCATGCCGATTCCGTAGCCCTTCGAGTCCAGCGTCGACCCTGTCAGGACGGAAAAACATTTTTACACACAGAACATAAATGTGCTATGAATTAATCACTCCCAAAATTTGCCGTGTATTTACACAGTCCAAAAATAGAAAACTAATAATTTTATTCTCAACAAAAAAAAACTCACCAATCTGCGTAAGATTGCAATCCCTCTGCACGGCATAGTCCAGCATGGGCGACTCAATTAAAAAGGCATAATTCCCCTGCAAAACTCTCGTTATTCCCTGCTCATAAGTTTGAACAAAGACATTTGAGTGGCTCTCCATATACGTCCACATCGTTTTGTAAGTCGTGATGGTAGAGTTCTGCAATTTTTGGATAAGAAATAAAAAAAGGATAAATCTTGAGCAATTACTTATGTCATCGTTTCGTGTTGTGTATAGATTTGAGAAGTAAATAGGAATGCAAATCTCGACAAGAAGTCCTTAAGAAACGGAATACCACTTCTTCCTTGACTTCTTTGGCACACGAAGTGTTTCATTCAAGCAGCATCTCGCCGGCCGTCCTAATAATCTGATTGATTACTGCGAGATAATGCTGCCATGGGACTACGTAACTCAAGTATCTGGGTTCAGACACCACGGGAAGTTGGTAAATGAGGCAGGAATATTCCACCCGTGTTTTCTCCTCTTTGTGCCCCGTGTTGTGTTCGAGCCGAGTGAATGCAATTTATTGTGCTGGTTGTGTAATGTCCGGTAATGCCAGATACATACACACCGAGGTTGTCGTTTCATAACAACATTGCTCATCATTCGTCGTCGTCGTCGTCGTCGTCGTCCTTCTTCGTCTTCTTCCTCATTAAGGTGCGTTTGGTTTATTGTGTTGTGTACATGATACGAAATGTGTATGCGAGTTTGTGCTGCGAGCTGAGTGGGCGGGTGGTGAGATTTATTAATCTACATGTTGTAATTTGGAGGAGAAAGTGAGTTTGGTGGGTGCGACTGGCCGGACTTTGTAAAGTGGAGTCGTTGGTTGTTCAGACTCAGTTGGTTGGGCAATGGTTCAACTCTGGCTGGAAGGCGGCCAGAAGAATAATCAAATTAAATCATCCGTCCTTTGTAGACCTAGCGGCTCTTTTCTCTTTATGATAATCAATACTTTACTCTCCGTGAATCTCTTCATTATTACCGGCCAGCTCGGAAGGAGAGCTAACAACCGCCAGCACCACGGAGAGAGCGATTGAGGAAGAAGACGAAGAGGAACCCACCAACCAACAAATGAACTAACAATGTATGTGCACTTTCTCTGCGTGAGTGGCTCGGTGTCGTGTCGATGGAGGTGAATAAGAGGACCAGACAGACAGGCTGCACGTTAGTTGGATTGGATTGGGCCAAGTGAGTCAAGAGATTTCCATAATCGGGAAAAACCGGTCAAAAATAAAATACTGTTTTTTGTTCATTACGCATAATGCAGGCGGCGTATTGGATGAGGAGAGGCGAGGAGGATGCGAGAGAAGTTTACTAATGAAGTAGAAATCTTGTTTTATAACTCGAGGTGAAAAATAAGGTGGTGGTCCTCCCTGTTTGTCTGTCTGTCTGTACGTCTACCTATCTACTTTCTCTTCTGGAATGACTTCTTCGTCTCCATTCCAATATAATCATCGTGTTCGTATGTATAAGCCGCTACGACTACTATTGCACTTCCTGCAATCACCATAATGAACCGGAAAACTTGGGCATCCAGCCCTCCTCGTACGGGTACAAATATCTCTATCTCCACTCTACATAATGAAACGGAAGGAAACATTGTTACAGGCGGCTGGGTGGGTGGGTGGTTGGATGGCCGGGAAAGGAGAGAGTCGAGCTTGGTGTGAGGGGGTGAGGATGAGTTAGTGAAAAGAGAGCATATTTTGGTTAACCAGATTTTTATTGCTACTTCATTATCCATCCACTTCATTCCTACAAATATCTGACGGAGGTTGGTTGGTCGTGTCCGTGTCTCGCTGTGTGTGTGGTTTGATCATGTTTGTCAAAGTATTGGTTTCACTTTCTCTCCCCAAAACTATATGCTTTCCATCCATCGGAATCTATCTCTGTCTAGCTAAAAAGTTAGATTTAGGAAAAATTCGACAGTTTTTTTGTCACTCTGGAGGCTTTTGTCCCCTGAGAGAGGAGAGACCACGGTGTCGGCACACAACAACTCGTAGGTACACATATACGCCACAGCTACTGGTCTAAAGTATAAATAAACGGAAAACGTGTCTCCGTGATGATGACGCCACGCGCTGCAGTACTGCATGAAAGTGTATTCCATCACTTTTTATTTTATGACGATGATGTGTCTCGTATATGATTTAAAATGAGGGTGTTGGTCGTGTCGGCGGTGTGGTTGTATGTGTCGAGAGATGAAATGCGCTCATGAATTTCAACTGTGCGGGGAAAGTGATTGGCAGTGCGTGTCACGTTTTCTTACCCGGAAGAAATCCATTGTGGATCCACTATCCAGAGTCCCGTACGAAATGTCGGTCTGGTGAGCGAGATCAGATGCACTCTCAATCGGTGTGCTCTTCCTGTCCACGGTGAGGAAAGCGGCGAGATTGGCAGTATAGGATGACACTATAATAAGCGTAAAAAACCACCAGATCCCTCCCACCAACCTCGTCGACGTAGCCTGAGAAAGAGGAAACAAGTCCGTGGTCAGTTTCTCGCGTAAGTTTGTACTTTCTTTAGAGGAGAAAGTTGTCACCCTCGTCCGACTACTGCAAGCGCTACCACAAGTAATCTACGTGATTTCGCATTGTTTTTTGTTTGGACCTCGTAAGAAAAGTCTCGTCCGCCGGCTCAAATCCTCTTAATAATTTGTAATCATTTTAAGTAACTCGATAAAGAAGTTGTTGGGAGGAACAAAGGGAGAAATGGGAGAGTCGGAGTCGGACGGGGTGAGACATAAACAATGAGGAAAGTTTAATTAAGCTAAAGTTTCCCCTTGGAGAGGAGGATTCTGTGTCGTCTCAACTACACAACGGACCGAAACCCTGTATCACCTTGGGGTTAAGGCCCGATCCTTGTCGGAGGAACGTGCCGGTGATAAACCACACAGAGTTGGGGAAGGAAAATTGGTTTTCCAGAATCCCTTCGTCCCCCGCGCACGGTGGTGGGGCCAACCACTCGTTCGGCGTGAACCTACGGATGCGAAAGATTAATGTGATATTTATTGCACGAGTATTTAGTAGTCGGGTAGTTTATATTTACTCACCGTGCGACGACAAAGAGGCAAAAACAGACGAGAACGTAGGCACCTGTGGAATAAGAAAAGAGACAAAAAGAGAGTAAAGAGACAACTTGCACTATTTCGTAACACAACAACATTAATAAAAATATTTTCATTTCATCAGCACAATTCCAACTTTTGGGTCACTTTCTCCTCGAAGGGGTGCAGTGAATCATTTATTTCTTGGACGGTGGATGGGACGAGGTCCAAATTAGGAGAAAGTGTCCTTGGGCGAAATGGGATTTGATTTTCTGGTACGACTACTAACGTTGGTTAGTTGAGTTATCTAACACTGGATACATTCAAGCAGATACAAAGATGGAGAGGAAACAGATTCCGCGACACAGAGCCAACGTTCCCTCATATTCTTTAACTAACTAATAGTGCACGAACCAAGTTGCGAAAACACGGGAGCGACAACTGTTCCGAGAAACGGTGAAGGAATGTCTTTTTGCTCGAACTACTATTTGTTTGTCATAAGTCTGGTTGTGATCATGATATTTTGAGCAAGAGGACGACATTGTCTCACAATATTAGCAGCATCACTGTATAATAATAAGGAAGTAGTAATGTAACGCTGTCACCACGGAGTATTAAACATCCGCATCATCCCCCGCTCGTGTTATTATCAGTCATTTATCTTCCTGCTTCATGAGGGTGGTAGGTAGATAGATAACATAAGCGGAGTAAGTAGTGCATGAGAAAAGGAGATGACGAAAATGAAAATTGGATAGTTGTTGTCGAGATATAAAGTTCTGCCAGATCGAGTACCACTCGTTCTGGCGTTCTCTCTCTCTCTCTGTCACAAAACAACAAGATTTAGTATGAAAGCCAGAAAGCAGTGTTACTCCCACATAAATACAGACAAGGAGGAGGCGAATGCGGGATCCTGCTTGAATCAGCTAAACATGTATGCATGCATTTCCCTCGAAGGAAAAAAAAAGTATTGTAATAAGAGTAAAAAGAAACATCTTTCAATATCGACAGCAGAGGAAATAGAAGAGGACACAAAAAACTAACGGGGGAAGAATAAGTCCAAAATTCGTGACAGACAGACAGACAGACAGACAGACACAGAGATGATGATGATGATGATGACGACGGTCGTCTTCTTTGAAGTTTCGTATAGGTGTAACAACTATCTGGAGTCAAAGGAGGGCGAACTTTGCCACTGTGGCTGAGGTGGCAGTATCTCTTCTCTCTTTGGAGGAACTTGGCAACGGCTTTTGGGAAGTAGACTTGGGATAAAAGGTTTTCGGTTTGGTTTGTGGGTGGCTGGCTATCAGAAAGTGCGTATGGATAGATACATAGGTAACCACCTAGAAGCAGCAGCACCATAACTCGAACTTCAATAAGTGGTCACACAGTTTCGTTCAAACACATCTTTCTACATATGAAGAATATGGAAAGCATAACGATTTTGTAAATGGATCTGTGAGAAACCACCACCATGACAAAAAATCTGACTGAAATGTATGTAGCTCCAATTGCAAGATTTTTGTCCTTGTGCACACAAATGCAGGAGATTCTGCTTAACATTCCCTTTGAGAAGTGAAAAGCGAGTTGCCCCGTGGAAAATGGAAAAGACAACTTTCTCCTTCTTATTCTTGTGTGTGAAACTCAATGAGATTCACTCCCATTCAGCACCACCACGCGGGTAGGTTGGCTGGCTATAATAATATCTGCTCCTCGCTACTGTCTCCTGCCTGACATGCTTTTATCCTGTCACTCCTCAATCCATCTTGAAAGCCAACAAGCTCATTTTTATGCATTATGTCGACCAATTACTCAAAATCCGAGGAGAAAGAGAGAGTGATTTACCCCTGGAAACAAATTGGAGAGAAAGCAAGTCTCCTTTTTCGCTGGATATTTACACACTTTTCTCTATCTCAAAGAAGAAGGTGGAGGATTTTTACTTTGACATTTGACACCACCACGCTGCTGCCAGAGTTGACTTCCTCCACTGTTATTTGTTTAACTTGAGTCATTTAATGGGGGATGGATGGTGGTGTGCGAAAGAATTTATTTATTTTTTCCTAATTTTTTCACGTCAAAATATGGCAAAATATAGAAACTGTATGTATCTCACCTGCAACCCACGCCCAGATTTCTGCCGAGAGCGGATTGAGAAAGCTGAAGAGACGTGCGGGTGGTTTTTTTGGGAGCTGGAAGAAGACAACGGATAAATCATTGCTTATTACTCCCACCCAATTAACGACGACTCATCATTTGGACTGGCTCGTGAAAGGGGTTATAAATACGGACGTACGGGCGTAGGAACGTTCGTACATATGTCTAGCAGGGTTGGCTGAGAGGAAAACCTTACCTTGAACAAAATGGAGATACCCAAGTTTCTAAAGGGTTTAGTGAAATCAATGACTTTTTCCCGTGCTGAGTTGATGGTCATGGACCCCACTGCCAAGTCTGATTTCTAAAAGAGGAAGGAAGCATCAAGTCTTGGCATGGAATTCGGAGCATTTCCTCCTCTGAAATTTACTCTCATTCCAGACATTGTTTGCTAGTGTGGTGCATTCCGGAGACTGGCCTTAATTTTCCATTTTATCATTATAAACCACACTACTACTACTGTTGCTGGGCAGAGGAATGAATTGGTTAGTTTTATTGTGCTCCATTTGTTTGACTGAAATGGAGGACAATAAGATTCGTAATTGAGGAATCGCAGAGTACGGCCTGCCAAACTGGGAGATGGTTCCGCCAACAGCCTTGAAAATACTTGGTCTTATCATGATATTGATGTGGCAGTAGGTCAATCTCTCTTCTTCTCATCATATTTTTTATCAATTTGATCCCTTTGAACTTTTATTTCCCAATTTCATTTCTAAGTATAAAGTAACGGCTAAGTATTATTATTGCCGACCGTAGGAAGCACTTACCCCGTCCAACAACTCTCTCACAATCCCGTTCCATTGTTTCGAGTCGGGATCCTCAACTCCATACTTGCCATCTTTCACGATGGATATCGTATACTGAAATCCAACCAAGTGGGCAACGTCCTTGAGCAAATCAATACAGAATCCTTCATAACGGGCGTTCCCAGTCAAATTTGTGTCCGGTTTTAACATTACGTATGGCTTTTCCTGAAAAAATTCAGTTGGCCATATTTCAAAATATATAGGGGTAAAGGAAAAAGGGTAGTTTTATGATAAAAAAGTGAAATAAATCTGTCACTCACAAGTACAGTAGTAACCCTAAGGGTAACATTAATAGTATCACGATTGCTGAAAGCATCAAAGTCATGAACCTGAAATAAATTTAAAAAAACACGATTTTTGTAAGTAAACCCAAAAATATGATCCCAGTTGCACATTTTACTTAACAAAAGTAATTTTATAACTAAAAATAATGAATTTCCTAATTTCAGTTATCATTACTACATAAAATAATGTCAAAGACATAAATTAGACAATTTCTTCGGCACCTTCGTCTAAACCTGACAAACACCGCTTGAAGATTCCACCCATGTCTACACATACTCACACTGCCTGCTGGGCTTTGTGCACTTCATAAGCGCTGATCTTTACTACGTACTTTCATTTAATAAGTAATGTGTGGTTTCTTACTGTGAGTCGTTTGGAGAGTGACCACTCCCCAACGGGTTGGAGGGAGCGGTTCTTCAACTTAAGAAATGTGAGGGTGGGGTCGTGTCGATTCCCTTCTCGGAGTTGAGCCTTCCCTGTCAACCCGTCAAAAGAGACCTGCACCACCACAAATAACAATGAGAAGAAAATCTTACATTTCATTTCATTCCCAATTCCTTGTCATCCAATGACCTCGCTGACGATTCTCCTCATTCTCATTCTTCTCGACCCATTCCCATTTTTCCATTTCTTGGAATTTCACTTGTTTGTTTTTTTAAATTTTGCGTTGCAACGATTTGTCCCAAAATGTTGCACACGGTCAGAAAGCTGTACGTGTACAAGAATAAGGAAGATGTGATAAAGATCATAGAGTTGGAAGAAAAAGATTGTAAGTCGTCATGATATTTAGTGATAATTAATATTATTGCATGTTTATTAATTCAGTGCTTATTTATTTGGTGTCTGTAGACAAGGTGGGAATCCAAACCATGTACGTTGTTCCACTTGCAGATAGTGATTATGAACCAGTGGCGACGACGGTGGGGCGGACCGTCAAGATTAACGATATAGCAGGAGTAGGTAGGCGAAGAGCAACAGAGGAGGAATGTGCAGCAAGGTAGCAAACATTGACAATTGTTTTATTGCACAAATAGCTTTATGAATTATTAAATGCATTTTAGGAGAACTTTTAAGTACGGAGTGATGTATGCCCCAACTCTCGGCTATGACCTGCATCTCTACACCAACGATGAAGAAATTGTCCTTCTGCTCAAGTGGTGGTGCCGCATCTTTATGGGAGCGATCTGTTCATTGGAGCCGTCCGAGTGCATTTCGAAATTGCAATACATTGAGGAGAAACTCAAGTACCATCTTCTCAAATTTGCCGACGTCCTGCCTCCCTCAACAGTGGAGTATATGCAAAGTTGGGGCACTACTCCTATGAAGGACCACTGGAATTTATTTGCAATTGAGCTGCAGCTCTACCAGAAAAATCCTAAAGAAGTTGTCCCTGTTCCAATGGCGACAATTAATAAAATTATGGACGCTCTCAAACTCAACCCGGATGCCAAACCCATTATTGAGGAGTTGTTTACTCTAATAGACTCGGCTTCAGCCCTTGCTGCGAGGGGTAATAAAAAATTAAGACCATAATAATAATAGTCTTAATTTTGTACAAATTATATCCAAATTAATGATGAATTTAGCTAAATTGATGCCACAGCCAGAAATCAATCCTTTTTGGTTTTCTGAAGAAAAGATGGATCAGATTGGGCACCTTGAGACAAATATCCCGATTGCTGTTGAATTGGTTGATGAAGGGATGACAGTCCTTAATGCAGCAAGGACCCGAAATGTATCTCGAACAACACTTGGAGATAATCTCAAGAAGCAGGGCATCAAGTCTCAGTTTGGCAAAGGAAGACAATTTAAAACGGGCACCAACGATCAAGTGATTACGGCGTTGGAAATGGTGAAAAAGGGGACAACTACAACTTACGATGCAGCCCGACTACACGGAGTGAAACGAAGTACAGTTCAGATGAGAATGAGTAGATCAGGTATCAAATCAACTGTTCGACAAGGAGCCCCACAACGCCACAATTACACTGCAGAAGACTTGGAAAAGGCCATACAAATGTGCGAAAGTGGAGTAATGACTCAAGCGGACGCAGCCGAAAAATACAAAGTACCACCGGGTACACTTAAGACTGCGTATTACAGGTTTGTGAACTGTTTTAATTATTATTTATATGCTTCTAATAATTTTTTTTAATATTTCATAAAGGCGAAAGAAGAAAAGCGAGGTGCAGCCAGTTTAGAATAGGAGGAGGAAAATCAACCCTACCGTTAGTGATGTAACATCTGCGTTATAATTACTTATTTGGACGTTTTTTAATAGATAAAAACAGATCAGTCATTTGTGTCCAATAAAACTTTGTAAATGTCGATACACTACATTTATATGTGTCAACGGACAGATCCGATGATACGGATCTCGCAGAGATAGTCCTTCTTCATCTTCATGTCCACTCATCCTCTCTCCCTCACGAGAAACAACAACTACACAGCTCGCAATTTTTTCCGAGAATGCAATAAGAGAGGCGGCGGAGGAGGAGGACGAGAGCCGGCCTTTGCTGCTGTTTTGTGAGTGAGTGAGACAGAGATCGCAATAAGATGAGATGTCGTGTCGAATAAGGGGGAACAAGTTGACATCATTTCTCATCTTTTATTACATTTCGGGATTGGGCAAGGTCGTAAAATAAAATGTGTGGTGGGTGGCGACGGTCGAGGAGGACTTTTGGATGTGCAGTGCGTCCAACGACAAGTATGTACAAGTTCTAACTAATACCAGGAGACGAATGGGATTATAAACTGTTTATTTATTATTCTGCAAATATGCGGCCATTTGGAGAATGCAGTAGTAATGTACTGCTCGAATAGTTGTTGTTGCTTGTTTGATGGCAAGGATGAGACTATTTTACTCTTACGGGACAGGATTGAAGGCAGGCTGCGTTGTGTAACTTTTCGCTTTGTTGTGTGGACAAGGACATTGTTAGTTGTAGTTCATGAGTGAAAGAAAGCAGAAGAGGGAAAAAGTTATGAAGTTACTTGTGTCATTGGATTGGACTGGGAAGAGAGAAACTAAGTCAGTTCCTTATTGACGTGTACAAGATGGCAATTTTATATAAAAAAAGACACAGATTTTTGCAATGGTGAGGACCACTCTACTGATGAAACCGCCTGGTTCATCGTGAGGTATGTGCATCGTCGTCACGCCGGTTCATGAGTTTGCAGGACGCACTGGATATTTATTTAGCAACGACTGCACCACTACCACCACAACCACCGAAGGATGAGACATGAGGAAGATGAAGCAAAGGACGAGTTCTCTACGGGATGATTGATTGAAAAGGTTGACAATGGACACACATACACTGTTAATATAGTTGAGGAGTGACAGCCCATCAGGCCACGATTGTTCCCGTTCACAGGACACATTAGCTGGTCGGATTTCATGGCTGGCATCAAATGACTTGAGTCCATGGCAGAAGGATAGCACACCATCGTACATAAGGGCTGCGTCAGTCTGCAACAACAACAGCAATCATTATTATTATCATCACTTCATTCAATGCCAAGTTCAATCTAAATCATCCATCACTTTACTCACTTATTCCTACTCTACTCCTACAAATAATACTGCAGAGAATGTTGGTACAGCTCTCGGCTGCGGCTACATGCATGTAATACCTCCGGAATTTTATGAGACTTGTTTTTGACACGGATGAGAAACGGATAGAAAAACAAACCAGTGTTTTCTCACCCGAAGGGAAACTAAAAGTCTTTAAATTTATTCACAAAGTTTCCAAAATCTTTCGAGTGAGAATGACATTTCATGCAAATCCACCACCACCAAAACCAACGACAAGCCGTCCCTACGTATGTACATAGACTCGAAGAGAGAGAGAAAGAGCGACTACTTGACTTGGTCGGTCGGTCGGTTGGTTGGTCGATGGACACTACTTACTTACTTACTTTTGTATACACTGAACTTTTGAAAGGTTGTGGTTGGATAGGACCCAAAATAAAAGTAAGATAACTACTTATACTGAGAGACTCTGACTGTGGTCCCTCTGTGGACAACATTTTGATTAAAATTTCAAGACTGGTATGGGCAATTATTCCACCAGAACGGAAAGCAAAGTAAGTAGAGGTGGATTACGGGTAAGTAAGACGAGGGAAGAAGAAACTACTGACTGGCTCACCTGCAAAACTTTTGAATAGCTTTTCGCATTAAATCTCTGCATATCCTCAATCGCTTTGAGATTCTGGTCCGAGTGCTCAATCAGTCTGAAGGAAGTGATGTTCACACTGTTGTAGGCAAAGTCCTCCAAGTCATACATCTCCAGGTCCTGCGGGGACGTGTGGCAATATTTATGACTTTACTTTAAACTTTCAAACCTTGTTGATTTCACGTGTATTGAGAGGATGGGTTCATATGCAGGAGGGAAATAATGCTCCGGATGACGCTGTTTAATATTCATGCCCAATTTAATTGAGGCATTAAGTGCTCCATCCGACCGGTAATTAAAAAGTTGGAGCCGCAACAGATGCCAGAATTGTACTCGCAATGGGCGTAGCTGCTGCTGGTTCAAGAGATATGGGAAAAGTCGGGTCGGAGCAATTTGCACAATAGGCCGAAATTAATTGTGGACTAGGCAAGAGTTTCACTTCTCAACGGGATGATGGCACGTATAACGAACGCCACCTCATTAGCACATTAGCTGCCCAAGTAAGTCACAGGGATTGCGACGACCTTTCCCTACCCACCAGATTTATTTTGACGGCAACAAGGAACCAATCAAGCCGTGGGGAGGGCAGGATGAAAAATAAATGGAGAAAGTTGTGTAGTGCACATGATATTTATCTATTTCTATGCCTATTCCTATATGTACCTATTTCACTCTATACCTACCTAAGAGCACCAGGGTCGTCTGACCCACCCAAGTCTGAGAAACTGGTAATGCAATATTATACGTAGGGCAATATCTACCACATATTCGTGCTCCTCCTCTGCACAGATGGGAAACGAGGTTGTCCCAATAAACGTAACCTTACAACGTTTAATCCCATCCCCAAAAAATATACATTACAAATATGCAAACAAACAAAGAAACCTCTCGTCGCGTACCAAAAATAAGTATTCCGCGTATCAGAGAAAGTTCAACAGGGCAGCAGCGGCCCAACCAGTCAGCCAGCCAGCCAGCCAGCAGCACACACAATTTATCAATGGTCGCTCATAAAAAATGTCAGTTTTTCTTGCATCTCGGCATAAATCACGCCGTCTGCAAGGTTTTTATTGCAAATACAAAGCCTCAAAGGCAGCTTGTAGAGATTCCATTAATGTGTATGAGGACAGTCGCTGCTGACTCCAGGCCTCCATGCTCCCGTGAACCAACAATGAATAAATCTTGACAAATTATTCAAACCGGATTTGTAAAGCGTAACGGAGTGAACCCTCACAATTTTTTTTATCTCTTTAGCTCATCTCCAGTAATTAATTAAACTTGCGAAATTTCCGATTCTGCCGACACAGGTTTCATTATAAAATAAAATCGCGGTTTCAATTGCAAGCCTCGTTACACAATAAAATTGGAGCAAAAAAATAGGATATTTTAATCCGGTCGTTTGTGGGTGAAGGATGCAAAATTCATGCGAATACCTATGTAGTTTTAGCAATGAATCAAAAAAATGAACAATTTTCAACGCAGGAGTGTAAAAGAAAGGTGTATAAATTGTTCTTAAAGAAAGTGAGAGAGAGAAAGGCAACTGTATTTTGTTTGCAGGATAACAACGCTTATTCTTCCAGAGCTAAGAACCGCGTGGTGGGTGGGATGCGAGGTGAGGGAAATCAGACCAACTGTGCAACAAACCCTGTTTCCATTCAAAGAAGAGAAAGTGAGAAACTCGGATTCTGGTGGGTATCCACCACCACTGCATACTGTGACTTCACAGTGCCGTATGGTGGTCTTGATTGGATATCATCAGTATAAATTCAGAGGAGCGTTAATTTTTAATTTGGGGCAATTTTAATAACTTAAGTAATTGCAATTATCTATATATTTTTTTTCATAAGCAGCCATAAGTTTGTTACGGCACTTGCCGTATAAGCCACTCCTTTAGAAACTTTGACCCCAAAAAACTCATTGTTCCCACACTTTTACTTCGGACAATAAAAGGTGAAAATGTAGCTCTTCTCAGGTAGAAAAATCTGGCATCAGGTTGTCAGAAGTAAAAGTGTGGGAACAATGCGTTTTTTAACGATTTCTGTGTATGACAAAAAACCGCCAATTTTCAAATTTTGAAACTTTTGATGCATCAAAATGTTCGTAGGGGCAGGGAAATTAGATTGGCAAATGCAACCTGTGGTCTAATTTTTGTTTTACCCAGTGTGCATTGACTTTCACATTTTTTCAAATTTCCTTCTCAAATTTCTGAAAAGGGGATGGGTGCATGTAATTTAAAAATATACATGCTAGATTTATCCTTGCACCCCGAATTCAACTTGCAATTTTTCTTATCAAATTCGGTGAAATCGACGCGAAACGGGTTTACACAGTTGGGTCAGCCTGTACCAGGTGAGACTTTCTCGTTCCGTGGAAGATGGGTGATGAATGGGCCCGCAGCAGTCACCAACTTTTCAACTCAGCCGGTTATTAAGTGGAAGCAAACATTTTGAAGGAGAGAAGGAGAGCAGCAGCTTTCTCCTCCTGTTCAATTTGACATTTGTTATCCTTTTCGTGGCTTTTTGTGAAAACAAACATCCAACTTTCAACCAGTTTGCCATCAATCAGGCAAAATCAGCAAGAAGGATATACGCATGTATGTAGGATATACCGTAATGGGCTGCATCTATCACCCAGGTTATCCAATTACCATTGCAGTAAAAGGCGTGACAATGGCAAGATCAAACGAGAGAGTAATTGGAACAGCACAACTTTTGAGTTTGGGTTATGTGTCATTATTTAGGTGAATGCACAGACTTACCAAAGTAGTAAAGTGGTAGTGATATCTAGCATCGTTCATCTGTAGTTGTAGTACCTGCAGGAGTTGCGAAATAAATGCACAATATCATTTTGCAGTTATAAATATCTCATGGGTAATTTGATAAATGTGGTTTAGTGACGACTTACAATACGGAAAAATAGAGGCAAGTGTCTGATATCAGCAATTATACTAAATATTTTACGCCGCTTTATTTCATTGAGTACGTCTCGATAACTTTTCGGGGTTACTTCTTGTGAAAATAGTTCTGAACGTTTCGAGCTGAGACCTCCCTTTTGCGTCGTATCCAACTTTTTAATAAGAAATTCCACCTGGGAGAGACCTGCAGACATCAAATCTTAAAAATTGGAAGAAAAAACACACACCACACAGAAATTAAAAGCTATTTCAGATTTTCATCTCCGTTAGTTTCTCCTCCATAAGTCACGTATTGGCCAAAAACCCACCTTCCGACTCGTCGTAGAGCAACGCGACTCGCGTCCAATTAAGAAAGAGGACCGCATCCCTGAGAGCCATGGCGAGGATGGGGCGTGAAGGTGCGAGTTTGACAGGGAATCCGTTAAACTGGAAGTCGTGCTGTGAGACGGGGCCACCTGGACCAGCACCTCCGGGGGGGTCTTGGTCATAGAATGAGGACGTTGGGAGGAAGAGGGGGAGGTCGAGGGAGAAGGCAAGCGACTTGAGATGTGATTCCAATGACACGTCCAGACCACTTGCGAACAGGGCCGAAATCCCTCCACTTATCAACTGACATCCTGACAATTTAATGAAAGGGAATTAGCTCCTCCAAATTACGGGGTTCTCCCTCCGCTGTTTGGGTGTACGATGTGTATGTGCGTCTGGTGGGATTGGTGGTGCAACACATGAATTACGTGTGTCACCTCTTCCCTGCGTATGTGTGAGGCTGACTTTCTTATCGCAAAACACTGTCACGTCGAGTGAGAGAGGAGAGAAAACCATTGCGACATGGCATACCAACTGCCAGGCGTTAAAATCTTGTTCTGAACTGCCAATCCCAGTGGTGAAAGCCACAGCAGAGAGGCGAGAAACTTCCAGGCTAGTCGTTTGCTGATGAAATGGGGACAAATGACAAAATTACGGCTGCCACCAATAATTCCCACCATTTTGTGATTGATGTTCTCTCACACCACACACACCAAGGGGGAAAGGAAGAGGAGAAGAAGAAGGTAGTAATTTATTGTTCTTTGATCTCCTTGTTCTGGTTTAATTCAGGATGGAAGACAGCAAGAAGGAGCACGACGGCGATCGCTTTGCGAGTGCAAAATTAGATTTTGGCCGAAATTTTGGAGATTTTAGAAGGAAAGTTGTGTCCGTAAACTAGTTAAAATTTGTGGTATTGTTTTCTCTCAGGAATTCTTGAGCGAGAAGAGGAGAGCATAGGAGCGGAGAGGCAGATTATTTTTCCATTATTTTATTTTTGACTTGCCACCGACCAACCAAATGTCATCAGCACAAGGTTATGTGGAACAAGACGAGCTATCATGATGACATGGTGTGGTGACATGGCAAAATAAGTTGGTGGCTTGGTTGGTGGACTGAATAATAAAAAGATGAAGAGATAAAGGGCGAGGGATGACGGAGGATGGGAGGACGCGGGGAGTATTATTATGTGATGAGTACATGTGAATGAAGTCAAGACAACTTTCTCTTTATCTCAGAAGAAGTAGAAGAAGAAGACGAAAGTTGGGAAAAAGAGGACGAGACAAGCAGGGAGCCAAACAAGGAACAAGCAATTGAGTGGGACGTAGAAGAAGCAGCAGCAGCAAAGAATAACTTGGTCGTGGTTTCCATCCATCCCGACCGTCCGACCACCAACCCACGATGTGTACAACAGTATGGACTCGATGCAAATTCCGAGAAAATTGAATCCTGTCCTCACTCCAGTTTTTCCTCGCCTTCTTCTTCTTCGCAAAACAAGTTTCACTCACTGGGAAGAAATAAGGCCAAAACTTGGAAATTATTATGCAAGGAGTCCAAGTGAAAGAGATGGCGATGATGAGGATGATACCTAACCATTTGCTTAATTCAACCAGCAGAAGCAGCAAATACATAGCTAGACGCCTCGACAATGAATTAACAAATTAGGGCTGCGGTGATGGCTGCTCGAGAATTTTGCGAAATCCGTGCAGTTGGGGAAAATTACATTTCGCGTATAAATAAGTGGAGCAAATTTGGACAAGTATTCAGCTCAGACTCGATCAAACACGTCGTCGTCCGTTTCATTCAGTGTGGACCCACTCTGGTTTGGTTCAGTTTACTTTTTCTCCTTTATCTCCTTTACTTTGTGGCTGAATGGGTGGGGGAGTAAGTACTAAAGCGAATTAACAAGTTTGGTTTTCGCCTGGGGCTTAATTACAAAAGGGTGAAACAAGTTGACTTTGCTGGAAAAGAGGCGATTACTTGGCTACTTTTCTTGGCCGGGGAGTATAGTAGTTGAAAAATAAAAGACTCGGCTTAATGAGTGGATAAACACGAGCTTTTCCTCCACCACAAAGTGATTTACTTCTACTTTTACCACCAAGTATGTAGCACTCGTATCAGGGAACGGACCCTCGACTTACTTTTCTCCTCCTAATTATTTTGAATGCAGATTTTGCCTATAATTCAACTAATATTCGAATCCAAAGTAGTCTAAAGTGCAGGCATGATGTTTTTTTTGTATATTTCTATCATTTATCTGAACAAGTTTGCCTTCAATTTAGTGAAATCTTTACATTTATTTATTTACCCAGACATAAATCTGCCTGGCTACAAAGAGAGATTTTCCCTTTGGTGTATTTATTAATTGAAGTGTAACTTTCCCCGGCCCAAAATTCTTGAGTTTTATGGGGGTGGTGGTGGTGGTGCTGATCAAGTGAGGCGTTATGATAGGATATGAATGGATACTCGTACACATTTCCATCCATCCATCCATCCATCCACCAAATCCTGATCCATCCTCGTATCCGCCAAGTGTAGGTTCCTTCTTTCCTCTGCTGGGCTAGGTTTAATCCCTCGAGAAATATTATTCTTGTCCAAAAGGCCCTCCCAGTACATGCAGGGACTATACAACACTGCCCACTTGAGCTCAACTGCATCACTTGACTAACCTCTAAATATAATCGGTTGGGACGGATGATGTGTTGGTTGGTGAAATGGCAGACTTCTTCCTTTCACAACTACTGGTGGAGCTGGACTGTAAAATCCTGGCTGCAATATTCCATCCGTTTTTTGTGTAGTTTAAATTCTTGGTGGATTGGAAACTAATGCGGAAATTGACTCGTCTTATTACACGTGTCCAAAAGTTTTAGAATATTTTGGAATACTGGATCCAAAAGTCGTCGTCAAGATGTGGATTAATTTCAGAGCGAATTTCTCAGATTCGTGTGGAAGAAGCAGAGAAAAGAGAGAGATGAGATAGTAAAACGAAAAAGTGTGACGATGTGATGAGGCATTCCACATACTTCATCTTGTGTTTGTGTACGTCCACTTATGATAGTTTATGAGTCCTACATACTTGGTTGGTTGGTGAGTGGGTGGGTCGGTTTGTCGGCGGCTGATCTAATTAGATGGCCAAGGCAGCCAAAGTTTTTTTGAGACGGGCATAATCCCACGGAACAATGGAGCGGGTATCGATTTGGAAAAGCTGTTCCGTTTCCCTCTCAAGGGTGGTGGTGGGGTCCAGTAGTCGTGCATCCCTTCACTCTTTAGTTTCGAGAGGGCCGTCTCCGTACAATTTTTGAGTATTCTGGAACATTCTTCATGGAAAATTTTCTCTCTTTTGAATATATGAATTGTAATGAAATTCTGAAAATATTCATTCAGCTCCTCACCAAGCACCACCACCACCAATCCTGAATTGAATTGACTTTTAGACTTTTATAGGTTTGAACATAAATACGTAGTTTTCAGGATCAAAGTGCGGATCACGAGAGATTACATGGTCCATCCATCCATCCATCCATCCAACTGCTGGAGGGGGAGGTCAGACCGTGATGATGGCGATATACATACATCCATTCCATGCATGCATGTAAAACCAACCGTGAACTAGTATTTCTTCTCATACGTGATTTTTTACCAAGTTCAGTTCCTCCCCGATATCCTAACCGGTATTCCTTTTTCCTCGCAGCCAAGAAAAGGAAATACCGGGAGAAAGAAGAAGAAGATTCCTTACGGCGAAGAGAAAGTGTAAAGCTATGTTTGTTTGGTGTGTTCCTTTTGAACGGTATTTTGTTGTCCTTATAAATATGCGGCACATGTAATATCGTGTGGTCGTCGTAACTAATTTTACGACTTGCTATTTACACACACACAAATTCGGGTAACTCGTATCGAAATAAATATCTACGCGATGTTAAGTCATGTTTTAGTAGGAATTCTCCCACAATTTTTACTACAAGATAACATTCATCAAAAATTCTTGAACTGTGTTTTTGTCGAATAATGGGATTGGACAGGGTATGGAAATTAGAGGAAAAAACACGCACCTATTTTCGTGGCCTGGAAGATATCATTGTTCGAGTAGTAAAGTGTGCGGTAGACAAGCGTTGTATTGTTCGCCAACAGTTTCCTCTCTCGATTCACGGAGTAGACGGCATACTTGAAAGCGACTTCAACAGGGGTTGATTTCAATTCTTCAGGAAATATTCCACCTGGAAAGAGGAGAGCAAAAATTAATTTAAGATGAAACTTAATGCTTCCAAAAAATGAGAGATGATGATGGACAGACTTCTTCCCATCGTCAACGAGGACTTCGTTCGTACGTACGCTGCTTATGTTAGAGGAGAGGAAACATTATCTTTCTCTCGAGGAACAGGGTGAAAGCTAACGATAAGTAATCAATCTCTTTTTGGACGGGAGGTCGTGAGCTTAAGTAAAGTGTACGTGTGTGTGTAATGTGTTTGTGCATACCTCTGCATACTTTGGGTGGAAGGGGTTTCGGTGTAGAATGACTTTATTACTTTATCCTCTCCTATATGACTGCCAAGACGGATAAGTAGTAGAATTAGCAGTGGAGAGAGAGAGAGAGAGCAACCACATGAATGTATTATATTAGTAAGCGACTCAAGTCGGATGCGTGAGGGAGCAAGATTATCTTACATAATGGCATATCCATCTTTATGACTTGTCAATATGGGCAAAGTCGACAGTTGAAACCATGACTTTACTCTCGTTTTTTGATGACATGTCGTCGTCTGCGTGCCGGAGGCGGTGTAAAATAAAAATGCATTACGAGAGAGAGAAAGTGCTCTTCCTTCTCCTTCAAAGAGTTTTGAGAATCATGCACTTTTGTATCCAAATTAATTTTGCGGCGTACAATTCCTCCTCCTCCGACAAGAAGATAAGGTATTAAACGTCAAGTGATAAGTGGGTTGTAATGCGAACGCTTATCTTCAATCTACATCTCGTTGTTGTATCCGTGTTTCGTGGTGATTTAGGAGGGTAACGACTGCTGGTGGAAATTAGAGTTTGCTTCTCCTTCTTTCTGCCACGTTAGCATCGCAGAGAGAAGAATGAGAGAGGGAGAGATTAATTCAACCATCATACTTAACACGTAGACGTTGGTTGCCGCTGTCCTGAGCAAAGGAGGAGAGGACACTAACGGGAAGAAGGTGATAAAAGGGTGATGGCCCACTTTACAGCTTATCAACCAAGTCATCTTTCTCAATCCCTCAATAAAATTACCTTTCCGTCTCCTTCCTCCTCCTCGGCGCAACCACGAGCAGATTGAGTTTAAACGACTTTCACTCTCGACCACTCTTTCCCATTTCCATCAATGTAATTAAACAGTTGGGATGACGAAATTAATTTTTAGTTTCCTTAATAAATTTGTATAAAGTACGGGATAATTACTCGAAAACGTTGAGGGATGCAGGGATGCGATGGAGTTAACGACTCAAGAAGTTGACTCGTACACGAAGGGAGGAGGAGAAAGCGTCCCAAAAGAATATGGAGAAAGAGCGGGTGGTGTGATGGTGGTTGGTTGGTGAGCGAAAGCCATTAAGCCCGGATTCGCCATTAGTATTGAGTTTAGAAGAAGTTGTTTGATGTCGTCCGCTTTTGGCCCATCGTCTTCTGGTGTTTATTGATTTAAGTTTTTATGAAGGCGAAAATAGCCACGAAGCAGGCAACGTGTATGCAGCAGGAGCAGCAGCCATGCATGGCAGGAAGTAACAGGAAGGAAGGAAATCGCCCAAGAAGAAGAAGAAGAAGAAGCACACAGTCAAACTCGCCTCTTCTGCTGTCATTTTCCATTCATTCATTTCATCCGAGAACTGTTGTGCACTTAGAGAGAAGCCGGTTGAAAGGCTAATAAGAAATCAATGGGGTGCTTTCTATCCGCGCTGTTGTGTTCGTGTCACCAAGAAGTGTATCCTTTACATCATCATTTCCACCAACTTTTAACGGGGCGAATCCCACATAAAAAGACATCGAGCCATTAAGACGGAATGGAGTGGGCAAACGGCGCAAGAAATCCACAAATCCGGTCCAAGAATATTCACAAGTGGTGTTTGTCATGGAAAAAGGTGCCATCAATATGCACTGATCGACAAAATAATGTGTGCAAGTGTCACTCGCAGACGGGTTTCGACCCAGATTATTTTTTAGCAAGTTTTGCTCTGGTCAGTCCGACTTGGAATTCGTGATGTAGTGCCACCCTTTTTTCAAACGGGGAAAATCCTAAACTTGAATGTCCTCGTAAATGGGAAATGTAGAAGAAACAACCTCCTCGACATGATTACTATGCACATTAAGTCACCCGTTTTCTCGACTATTTTTAACTCGTATTACTTAGCAGAACTGAACTTGATAATGAAAAATTGCCAGAGTGATGAATCTCCACTCTGTGCGAGGACAACGAGAAAATCACAAAGGCGCTTTTTCTCCACAAAGATAACACATTTCATTGTTTCTATTTTCAAACAACTTTTACTCCTCTCCTTTCTTCCAACCTATCCATTAAAGAGTTGACAATGAGGTTTGCTTTACTACTCCACGTCCACCACCACCACAAGAATTTAAGTGCAGTTGTAGTTGCGAACTTTTTAATTCATTCATTTTTTTTACCATGAAGCTGCATAAAGTCAAATTGTGCGTGGTACAAATATCTACTGCGTGCATACACCCTGAAACATTAACTTTTCGAAATTTATATCCCCACAAAATTTATTTATTCTCATCAGGTTTATAAAACTTTTTCCTCTTTTTTCCTCCACTGCTGCGTACGTACATATGACGTACACATTCTTAATTTGGAATTCAGAGTCCACTATGACCGCGAAGCGTTGCTTCGCCAACAACAAAGCGATGAGGGTGAGGAGAGCAGTATTTAAAGAGAAAACGGAAGAAATACATTTTTTCGGGATGGGTGGTGCTGGTGGTTGTCGTAGGATTGGATTGCTGAGCCAAATGAAGAAGCAACTTTACTTTCTCTTCATTTTTTCTCCCAGTCAGTTCTTGAGCAAGCATTGCTGTAAGTAATCCCGTCCTTTCTCCACGTCCAACAAATAAGGATGTGCATTGGGTTGTGGCATAAAAACATGTACGTCGGCGAAACCTATAACTGGCAGCATGGCTACTGTTGCCCATTCACCATCCACCATGCAGCATCGCATCGCTGACCCAAAGCCAACTTTGCTTCTTGGCTCATTCATGATGCCCATTTCAAGGATGGGTGGTGTGCAACGTCAAATGATAAGTAAATATGACAACCAAACTTTGCCCTGCCCGTCGTCCTATATTTACCAATAATAATGATCATAATAATAACATTATGTGAGGGTTGCGCAGTCAATGGTGGCTTTTAAGTTCCCAATATTGATTTAAATATTTTCCCACAGAGAGATTGAGTACTGCGTGAAGGATGGAAATTCAAAAGCAGTCAGGACATATTTATTTATAAGAGAAAAACAAGTAGGAAGTCAAATGCGTTTAGCACACAAAGGAGGAGAACAACGACGATTGAGACAGTTTGGACATTCCCGGATTTCGGTGCCTGTCATCGCTGAGGCTTTACGATTTATAAAGACACGCATGTAATTTTTGAAAGTCTTTGTTCACTAATCCCCAAAAACTGGGGGATGTGTGGGTGGGTTGCTACTGAAGAGAATCCATGACTGGGAAGCTTTGCTTTGTCGTATGGATTGTGATTGTGAGAGCTGCGTCCACTGGACTAAATTTAGTTTTGTTTGTAAAAAAAAATTCTAAAATCCTCATTCTATAAGATGATTACGAACATGATGATGAAAAATGTGGGTTTTCTCAGAGTTATTTATTTTATGAGGACATGAAAATGATTAATTACAGATATTGGATGCAATATATACTAAATATTCTTATAACTATTTAGTCAACAAGATTAACAAACGGCGCACATTTGGGGCGAATGTCTCTCTTAGGAGCACTTGACTCAACATGATAATGCGTACTATCGCCCCCAATTAAGGACTTTATTGACTGTTATCTACTTTGGATTTCAGTCAGACTGATCTCAGCCTCTCGTTACGATTATGGGGCACATTCCCAGTCCCACAAGCTAAGGAGCCCAACCAACCAACCAAGCATTAGATAAATCTTGTCTAAATAAATATCCTCTGGGTGGAGGACAATCCTGTGTACATATACACATCACTCCTCTGTACACATTTGCTCTGTCACGTTGTAAACTACCTGGACCTCCCTCTTTCTCTCTTTCTTCTTCTAGAAAATATTTGCCAATCAGTTGAAGCGATTGAGACAGTTTCACTTTACTGCTGTTATTCACACTTGGACGGATGTGGGAGAAAGCAGTGTTGGTCCCAATCACTCTTCTCACTGAGAAAGTGAACCCAAGCAAATCTGGTGTCTCAAGTGCATTCGTTTACGGAGGATATGAAGCATGATGAAATTTCTGCCAGAGGTGGCAGTCGAGCCAAACCAGGAGACAATCACCATCTTCTTCCGTCCCCTTTGCTCCCCTGCCTCCCTGCCAGCCAGCTAAGGACTGAAATGAAGCGAAAGACAGAAACCATGTCCCCCTGTACCACCTCCACCACTACCGACGCTCTTCCCTCTCCCTGTCAAATAATTTTGGCGATGTGAGAGGGAATCATATCCATTCAACTTGGGTGAAGACGAAAGGAGGGTGGTGGGTGGGTGCGGAGGAGCAGGTGGAAGTCGTGGTTGTGGTTGTTAGACCAAGGAACAGATCAGGCCGGGCATGTATCAAATGGATTAGTCATGACAACTTGAGGCATTTTTATACAAATCTATTTAAACTCGATTTTTCGGTTTTGTGGGCATGCAATACAGCGAAAGAGAAAGAGAGAGAACGAGAAAAAGAGGGAGAAAGTACGAGTGGAATAATAGTTACTGGTCGTCATTCAACCACCCACACGCTACTGCATTCCCTTCGATTTGATGCGGACGAGTAGGTTTTCGTAGTAAGTATGCAGTTACAAATAAGGTCTAGTTGGGTTCAGATTCTGGAAGGAGGGATTGAAATTTGTTTCACACTTTGCTGGTAGTCGACAGCGTGCATATTTTTGGCGAAATCAGGCAGAGGAAGAGAAAGAAGAGGGCAAAGATCACGGAGCAGAGTGTAGAAACATCACCAATGACATAACCACTTTTCTCAAGTGGACAAAAAACAGGACAAGTTCTTACTTCTTGTTCGCTTCGTAATGTATTTTTCCCAGTGTGGATTTTTCCTATGAGAGAAAATAGGAAGGGAAAATTCGCCCAGGTTTTTGGTGGTACGTAAGTTTTTTTCCTTGCGTAGGATGTTCTCCCTCCGGTAAAAAAATTGGAATGCACAAAGTTTTTCGTACGAAACTGATGGAACATCGCATCGGTTTCATGTCGTGATGCGAGTAAATGCAGCGGTCTCTGAATGTTTACATTTCGCATGTAATAATAATATTACTCATGTATGTACATAAAGTTTTTGACCCTTGCGGTTACTTGTGAATGTGCTTAATATTTATTTTTTCACATGATTTTCAAAACATTTCATAAATTAAGACAAATTCCTCAAAAACGAGGAAACAGGATTTGTCATGTAATTGTATTTTGCACCTCAGTTTTTTGCATGTTCTGAATATTATCGAGCAGAAGAACAAGAATGGGAATGGAAAAGTTATTTATTCCAAAATGTGGTTTTCTTTGCATAACAATATCTCCTCGTGCAACAACTTCCGCCTTTTTCCTTCCTTAAAAATGAAAACGTTTTCCCTTCCTCGTTTCTACATATGTGCCGATATTACCTTGCTGACAACAAAATCGGCCTAGCTTCCAGATTACTCACTCATTCGATGTCGACGACGACTGGTTGTGCGTATACAAAGGAAAGAAAATAAATAAATGCAGTCGTCTTCTTAGTGCTAAGAGCTTCTACAGCTATGATCTATGTATGTGCGATGGGATAAGAGACAGGAGAAAAGAGTGGTGCGAAGTTGTAAAGGAAATTTACACAAGAACCACAGATCAGGAGATGAAAGCGACTTTTAAACTCTGTGAGTTGGATTTCTTCCACATTTTCAGAACTCAGGTGCATTTGAGCCTAAGCCGGTAAGCTTATGACCCATTCGCCGGATTTGGTGAAAGTATTGTCAAGTTAAATGGGTATGAAATGAGATGAGAGGGCTTAGCTGGTAGGGCTGGCCCACTCGGAAAGGAAATGTGAAATAAAATAAAGGTCTCAAAGAAAGCATTCACTTCGTTACTCATGCTCCGCTCAGCCAGAGTCCAGTTAAAGTTCACTTTTACTTTCTCCAGTTTTGCCAAAAATGCACAAATCTGCAAGGGAAGAATTGCATGAGCTAATAATCTTCGTCTTCTTCTCACTTTAACTTTCCAAAAATGGATGAATAGAGCGGATGACAGCCATAACTCTGCAGTGTCATCACTTCCCTGTTTTGTAGATAGTTTGGATTCAAAGCGAAATTGAAAGGGTGGCGATGATAGGAAAACTGCTGAGAGAGAGAGAGAGAGCTGTCTGATTGATTGTCCAGACATCCAGCCCCTGTTCTTCTTTGTTGCCCGACCCGTCGAGGAGACACACATCGACACCACCAAAACAGCAGTAGCATCACAGATTAATAAAGTGTGTACACAAGGACCAATGGGGAAGGTAAGTAAGTAGAACGACAACGACTTTGCCTGACTTCTTTGTGCATAGAGTTCAAAATTGCAAATCTTTTTACCACACCTACAAAAACGATAGAGTTTGCCAACAATGTCTTCGCCAAAGTCCTAGCTCCCCAACAAGAAGCCATTGTTGGACGGGTGGATGGATGGATGGATGGATGGATGGTTGAGTGAAGGAGCCGATATTTCCAATCCAATCGTCCGGCAAGAAGCCAAGCGAGGAAAAAGTAGACGAAGAGAGGTTGTCCCGTTATTGATTTGAACTGTATCCTTTTTGGGACATCGTTTTATACTTTTTCAGATCATCACTTGCTTTCAGCTCAGAAATAAAATCCCCCGTGGGGCTCCGACCCTTTCATCTTTCTTTATTTTGTATCATCATCACACCACAACCCTTGCGACCGGTTTTTAGAACCAGAAATGAATGCATAAAACATTTCTCTATTGAGTAAAGTGAGGCAGCGACTTGACGACAAAATCAGAATCAAAGAAAAATTTAAGCAAACGCAAATATCTCCGGGTCATCAGAAAACACCGGTTTTGGCACCACTTACAGAATGCTATTATACATGGTTTTAAGATGACATGACAATAGTGGCCAAATATTTATTAGGTGTGTGTCAACCGATATGATGCTCAAACAAGCCCACATTTCGGATAAAAGTTGTCAGAAAATCAAAAACTTTGAAAAACAACTTCCCCGATAGGAAGGTGTACATAGGACTAAATATTTGCCAAACAGTTTCGAGTCTCAATCCTCCCACAACCACAACCACATATGTAAAATGTGCATGGGTTTTCCTAGAAGCCACATAAAATTGAGTTGCTCTTTTCTCCGAATATTTTTTTTCCTGCGTACTTTTAAACTTTTACTCTCTCTCCATTCCAAACTTTGATATGAGATAAGATGACTGAGTTTTGGCAACTGTAAAAAAAAACTTTTATCCATATTCTAAACGAATTCTAGCCAATCTCAAAGCTGCTTTCTTCCTCTAAACTCTTAATAAACTTGAATTCTAACTAAACTGACTGGGGATTTGATGAATTTGAAATTTAGTGAGATCATATTTACATAGTGCAACTCATCCCCGTCGTCGTCTCGTGAAAGTGTCTGTCCGGCGAGGAAAAATTAATTGTCGTCTCTCTGTTCTCTCTCCCTTGTCTCCTGGTGGGTGGACAAGATTAAAAACCTGGAGTGGAGCTGCTGCTTGGTAATTTTGGGAAAAGACAAGCAAACCATGTGATGCACGTCAGCCACCTTAATTGCATCCACTCTCAGTTATTCATGACGTAAATATTTGGGTAGCAATTTAAGAAAATTAAGTGAAAATCCTGGGAACTAATTAGTGGCTTGAGAGGAAGTAAGTCAAGGGCTGGCTTGACTGGCATTACGCACTGGCGGGCTGAAGGGTTTTCGGATTTTACTAGTACTCACGCAGCTACCTTTTTTCCCGTCCAACTTTCGCTTTTCCTTCTTTTTTTGACTTTGATCCAAAAGATGAAACAGGAAAAAACCAAAATAAAACAAACTTTTTCTCCCTGGTGTCACCATCAACTGTGTACACGGTGCTAACCATGTGAAAACTTTGAATGGCGGAGAGGGAGACAAAATCTCATTTCTTTCTCCACTTGCATAGAGTTGTAATCCACCCCAATGGGTGACCAGTGACCAGACGACCACTAACCAGAGGCCAACACCCTCTTGAGCAGGTAGAAAGACGTTGTCGAATATGCTACGCAGAATATTGCGAGATGTTGGTTAATATATTGAGATTAAGTTACATATGAATACGATTTATCTCACTACTTGCGACCAATTTTGTAATGAGATTTCGGACAAAAAATGTATACCAAGTAAAACATTGACAGATATGTTCCCAAAGTATATATTTATTTGTGCGGTCATGTCGTGTCATCAGTAAACAGTGAATGACTACAGTTCTCTGGTAGTAACCAGCAGGAGCAGGAGTACGAGTAAACATTGGAAAACAAGGCAAATTGCAAAGCAACTTTTCCCCCACCCTCCCGACATGGCGAGCTAAGCAAATAAAAGCGAAATTATTTTTATTCCTTGAGCTAAATATCGAACCAATAATAAGCCCGATATGCTCCTCCGTACGAGTACCTTGCGCAAATACATATCTGGCTTCATCCAACGAAACTTATTTTGTTGTGTCAACAGAGAGATTCTATTACTATTATTGTGTGTGTCGCTTCACAATAAATATTGTTTATCGATGCTTACCCAGCCAAGGACACCACACCACCAACGCCACTCTGAATACCTATTTGGTGATGGTGGTAACCACAATTATTTGTAATTGCCCACTGCGTTAGAACAGCAGCAGCACCATAAGTACCACCACTCGTTGACCATTAGTAGCCTAAAGTGCAAATATTATCAGAGCAAAGTGTAGCATAGATTGCAATACAGAGGAGCATCATGACATCCACGAAACCAAGGCCGTCTCCCAAATTGACGATGAAATTAGTCGAGACAATTTATTAATTGGGGTAATTTCCCCTCATCTGAACCAACAACAATGGACGGTAGCACTTCTCCACTCTCTGTACGTATTTACGTACGTATGAGTTTCTGTCTTTGTCTCTTGTGCGGAAATGGCGTGTAGGATATGTTTCCCTGACTGAGAGAGTGGGGGAAAGTCCATGAAAATGAAAAGTGGGCAGAGGACAAAGGCCACGTATAAATTGTGTCGTGTGAATGTATGCACTAACAACCTCTAATTTAAAGGACAAGTAAACACGTATAAGTAAGTAAGTGGTGCTGCTGCACTGGGAGTTGGACGACTCCTATCTATCGAGTATAGAAGTGAGTATCAGTAATGTGTCAGAAGGAAATGAGAGTTGAGTTTGACTTTCACTCGTAAATTGGAATTATCTCCGTTCTCCGGTGTGTAATGTAATGAGATTCTGCTGCTGCTGCGACTGTACGAGACTCGACAACTCGCAAGTTCAGTCAGCCGTGGAGGAGGACCCTCCAGAAGGTTTCGGATGAAATCGAGATGATGGGACACAGCTCCAGTTCATAATATTGGAAATAATGTTGTGATCATGAAACTGATGATGGTACTCTCTCCTCATTTCGTTCCGCCGGTGTATCAATGCCATGATGAACTCGTGTACAGGTGAGCTGTGTGGGGCTAATGCATGTCAAATTATGTTGTGCTCAGGCGGCCCAGGCGGGCCCTCTCATCTTCTCGTTTGAAATGAGAGAAGGAATTTCCCCAATCTGTCAAATTAGTAGGAGGCAGTCAACAACAGGTGAACAGACTGATGGAATCAGGGTGACGTGCTTTTCGGAGAGATTCGATTTCTTTATGGGATGGATGGATGGATACACAATGTAACTTAATGAGTTTATTTTCTATGCTTAAATGACTAAATTTTACATACCGACGAGAAGGCAACCAAGGTTTTCCATACTTACCAATTCGAACAACTTGTGGCAGAGAAAGCACTGTTCCCGAGATCCAGCAGAGGAGCAGGAGAAAGTCGGATTTCATTATGTTTTTAGCATATTAAGCACAGTTTTCAGACCCAGCATCTCAACAATTGACTCACCGCCACGATAGCAAATTTGTAACACATTCACAACAAAAACCACAATAATAAATATAAACCCTGTCTTCTGAGCGTAAGCAATTTGGGAAAATGTTACACAAATGTCTCAATAGTTTCATTGGCATAAGTTCCTCGTGTTGGATGCCTGAAGCCAACTAGACTACGCTCCACACAGGTGAGTGAGAGTAAGTTGGGGATGAAATGATGTAGTCGTGGTCTGGGTGATACTTACTCTGCTTTCCCCATTCTTCGCACTCCCTCGCAAACCCACCAACCTTGGCTGGGCCGGCTCTAAAAACGGTAACTCAACTTCACACGTTCCTACTTTTCTGCCGTCTCGCAACACGATTCACCGGTCACTTATTCCTAACTAGAACCACTAGAACTAACCTGGTTAGCTTAAAAAAACTCCAACTAAAAAAGTTGACTTTTATTACGTAACCCTTCGTTAGCTTTACACAATTTCGGGGCACGACTGATACCCCATTTGCGAATCGTTCAATACCCCATTCTCCGTCAGACGATGAGATTGTTCAACTGTGTGGGCATCTCTCTAATTGCGTTTACATTTTAAAGTTATGATTGCAAAGTTCACCACAAACAGGGTAAAAGAGGATCCAAGTTCCATTTTGGTTTTGGTTCCCGTAAATCACAATCCAACCACAAGGGTCGTATACGTCATGTAACATTAACAATAATTACCAGCTCACTGACTAAATATAGAACTTGTAGTGAATCTCAGTTGGACCATCTGCCCTACTTAAACCCATTTTGAAATGGTAATCGACAGCAGAAGGAGTGAGCCAAGAGGATGAAAGGGGTTGTTGGAGAGAGAAAGTCAGAGAAACTCGGCTTTACTGGCAGAGAGCGAGTTGACTGACTGACTGCCTTTTCTCAGATTCACAACTCACTTTTGACTACCACCACCACTGCCTGCCTTGCACCGTACAACCCCAACAAACGGCTGCACCATGCGCCCAGACGGAGAAGAAGCAGAGAGCCCAGGACATAGTACACAGAAGTAGTTGTTGGTTGGCTTTCCTGGTCGTATGAGAAGGAGGCAGGCATTCCACAAGCTTGGAGAAAACACGGGGAAGATTCGGGCCAAGCAGAACAAGAACAAGAAGTGGAAGACAAGTTCAGTGCGGTGGTAAGAGTAACAAAGTCTCCACATTCGACTTCTACTACGAACGAGTGTATGTACAAGTATGTTACTTACAAACCCATAAATAAATGCATGAACAGTTCTTCTTCTTCTGCTACTTACATACGTATGACACATACTTGGATGGGAACTATGTAGTTTTAGCAGTGGATCCAAAAAGTACTCTGGTGATGGTCTGGATGACTCTTGTGAAATGACCCTTGCTTAATTATTATTAGTATTATTGCTCATGGACAGCTTTACAAAGTTGGATTAGTTGGGCAGAATTTTTTATTTTTAACGACCATAATTTGTGGGGTTTTTATTTTGTCGAAATTTTAGTAAAAACTAGAACTCACTGCACCTGATACAGCATTAAGGAAGGAATACGGTTCAACCCCTAAGTAAGTATGTCCCTTTGTAAAACTGCATGTCTGCCGAAATTGTAGTCTAGCCGGAATTCAATGCAGAATATATGTACTACGCGGCGGCTAATAACAATGACAAATTGGTGGTGTATCTATCTTTGAAACATCAAATTTGCAATTTGGCTCGCATTCTGCTTGCCTTGCACCTTCCCTGTGTTGGGCCCAAATTGTAATAAAACTCGCATTATGCCGATTTTGGACAGCCATATATCTTTGCCAACACGTTATACAAACTGCAGTAAGATTTTATTCCGAAGATGAATCGGTTCTTTTGAATCATATATTTTGTCAGAAAACTTGTCCAAAACGATGCCAGTGTCTCTCTCTCATACATACTTATTCCCATGTACAACGGGGTAAGTGGCAAGTTCAGCCGAGACGCGAGTCTATGAACATGGTCTGGAACTACCTCATGACTACTACTTGGTAAATTTTCCGTATTAATACTTTGCGTCATGTCCAACATTTCTGTATTACATTTGCCGACGTAATGTGATGGGAATAGCGATACGAGGGTGTAAGTGAGTGTCTCTTGGCTCTCAAGTTGTCTTTATTAGTTCAGAGTACACACACTCCCAGATTTACAGTAACCAACGTCCATCCGTCCGTCCACAGAGAAAGAAAGAAAGAAAGTCTTGTGGTTTATATGACTGACTGCACCATCCAACTCAGATCCCACGACTGGCTGGTCCTCTCATTACGTTTGACTGGGGATGAGAAGCCACGTGATCGTGTGTTGTTCACGGAATGAGATTGAACCTCAAGGGGCTCCGCGTGTGTGTGCGAACCCCACGAAATAATGGGCGACATCGGAAGAAGACGAACTTTGCTTTATTTTTTGAGCTTTTGCCCAATTGAAAGTAAAGAGGGCGAGGATAAAAAGTTAAATAAAGTTCAAAGATTTGGATGAATGAATGCAGTGGCCAAGAAGATGAAAAGATGAGGAATTGTCTGGCCCCACATCTACGTATGAATGAGTGTCAAAGTGGTTACTCGGTGACACAAAGGGACAGTGACACGAGAGGAAAACAAGAAAACTTTTGGCTGATTTACGTAGAATTAGAATAAACCATTGTGCATGCAGGAGAGAGAGAGAAAGAGTGAGAGAGAGAGTGAGTGAAAATAAGAAAGATTCCGAAAAAGAATCACAGCAAAAGCAACCACCGCCATCACCGCCACTATTTTAAGGGGACGGATGGCACTTGGCCAAAATCAATGAGCAGGTTCAAGCCTGATCCAAATCTGTTAGATGATCCGATAAGATGATCTCTCTCTCTGTGAGTTGAACTATGGACGGACGGCGTAATATATCTGATTGAAATGAGATGAGAAGGACTTTAAACACCCGGCTCACACCGAGGGGAGGTGGTGACAGAGGAAATAGGAAAAGTTGGAATTATCATCCGTATGCCATGCATTATTATTACCAGCTCATCATTCTTCCAAAATCGAAACTGCAAATAATGGATTTATCTCGTGCTCAAACGTGGTGTGGATGAGATGACGGGATGTTGGTGGGTGGGTGGGTTGGTTAGTGGATGGATGGATATTTGGCTCTGAGCACCCAAAATGACCGTCAGGACGGAGAGAAAGCGATAGAGAAACGGGTGAAGAGTAAGCAAACATGAGGCGAGGAGGAGGAGGAAGTTGCTGCGGTGTATTGGGTGGGAAACCCTTGTTTGCTTTTTTCGCTCCACAAACCAATTCTGCCAACCAACATCATATCACACCTTGATCAACATCCGCCTCCGCTCTGCTGGATGACGGAAGGAAGCCAAAACCCCATAAAATGTATTAACGTGTCTGTACACACAGGAGGACAGGGAACGAACGACAATGAGACAAGATCTCGCAGGAACAAAACCAAGTCAACCAGCTACACGACACATTTGTACCTACGACACACCACCACCGCCAAGAATACCTCGAACCAAGGGCATCCTCTGAGAAAAGAGAAAGTCTCGAGAGGAAGAGAAAAATCACAAATCAAAGTGAAATTCTATCCCAACATTATCCAGGCCGATACTCCATCCGATACAATGTAGAAGAAAATCTGACTCCGCGCCACACACCTCTATTGATTCGAGCCGTCAACTAAAATTACTTTTTGAGGTATCATCAACTTCTGAAAGAGACACCAGGCATGATCTCAGGAGCGGATCTCACACATTATTAGATGGACATGTGTGAGGTGAACACACATTGAGATACGACTTATGAATGTACCACTGTACTGCTCACAATGTCAGTCGTCTGATTCCTTGATAATACGAGGAGGTAAGAAGATAAGAATGGATTGAATTCACCAGGGATACATCTCCCATGCACATAATAGGATGGACATGGTTCATTCTCCGCGAGTTAAATAGGTGGTCACGGTCGAGTATGTTTACGATTGGGTGAAAAGGTGAATGAGAAAAATTGTGTGTGCGAAGAAACCGTGTAAAGAAAATCTCGACCACTAATCTCGACTGCCATACATAATATAACCAATCGAGTACATAACCCAAGAATATTGTACTCGGAAAGGTGAACATGTACCATTTTTTTCCTTTCCTTGAAAAATGAAAGCGTATAAAAATTATCATTCTTCGTCATTACGAGGAGCAAGCGGATTTGAATGCATATCAGAAGAACTGGGTTGACTTGGTCTCACTTTGTCCCCACCACTTTTCCAGTTGAAAAGCGTTGGAGCTCCTGCTTTCACTTACTTACTTTACATCTCGCTCCCTGCATTGCAAAGCTAGCCACGTTCCTGCCATAATAATGAAGAAAGCTAACCGGGGAAAACAAAATTTCCCTGGGTAGTACACCACACACACTAATGTTTTACATTGTAATGGAGGATGCGTTCGTAATTCCAATCCAACGTCGAGTTAAATACCATATTTTCCAGCTTTTCTATCCTCCCTACATACGTACCAGTTGGTGGGTGGCAGGGTGACGACCAGCTATGCGAATGTGTTAAAATGCTGAGAAAAACGTTGCAAAGTTTCGTTTCCTGGATGTTTTCATCCTCCTCTAAAATTTCATCCATCCTGCGTTTCAACTGTGAGGAAATGAAGGACTTGATCCAGATTGGGGGGAGGAATTTTGCTCTTGTTATCAATCTCAAAACATCTAAAAACCAGACCCACTAGAATAAAAGCAGTCGAATCCAGCAGAAATACGAGGACAGGCAGTCTGTGCAGCCTCGCATACGTACATGACTCACTGAACTGATGCCCGGTATCCTTCCTCGCCTCTGAGGAAATTTGAATATCAAAGCAAGAGAAAATTTCATTACCAGCAGCTCTTCATTTTCTACGCAATGTGATGATGATGAGGACATTGCATTCGGAGTGTGCATCCATCCAAATTTGAGAGCCATACATTCCGTTGGAAAGCTGAATGGAGCTCGATGATAACCACACAACCTCATCGCTGTCTCACCCCCCACACATTTTAGCCCAGCGTAGGAACGAGACACACATCTGTCTTAAAACTCATCGTCATGATGATGTGGTGGCAGTGATGAACAAGTGAAGAAGAAGGTATGTTAGCTGCTGCTCCTCCTCGTCTTCCAGACATGATCTGACTCACTGAACTTGCCAAGAAACCCTCGCATGCAGAATTTGAGGGCAAAAGCAAAACGATAAAACTTGAATCGAGTTGCTCTTGAAACAAAAGCTCGTAGGAAGCGAATGTGCCTAAAGCACTTTGGAGATTTTCAACAGTTCATCACTATTATTATGGAATTGTTATCCTATATATTCATCAAATCGCATTTGCTACAGGGACGAGAGGATGTCTTCTGATTTGGATTTCATTAGAAAAAAATGACAAGGATTCGGTTTGTAGGGAAGGATCAAGATAAATAAGTGGAAAGTAGCGCATCAAATCCAATTTATTACACACGCACACAAAGTAAAAGTAGAATCTGTGCATGGATGGCTGTGTGTCTGGTATTCTTTCATGTATCGACATTCATTTTCCAGACGGAATAAGTTACAGTTTGGAAGAATGGTAGAGGTTTTTCCCCTATTTTGTTGAGACAAAGGAGTAGCAAGATTTATACGACTTATAGGAAAGTATCCTCACTTTCTCCTTCATGCATTCTTATTTCTCTGTTCGGATTACGCGGCACGCAAAAGAATATAAAAAGAAACAAAGTCGCAACAAATTTAATCACTGCAAAATTAAAAGAGTGCAAATGATTGAGCCAAGTAAAAAGTATTTTCTATTGGATTTGTGTGTGTGTGTGTGGAATTCGGACAATTTGAAATAAGTAGGGACGTACCCTTTCAAATGTATACTACTCGCTGGCAAAGT